GCTCTTGAGGCGTAGGTCACTGGGCGCCAGTCATCCCCGTGTCTTTGCAATAAGGCAGCGCCAATACCTGTTCCTGAGGCGTCCGCAGTTATCTTAGTGTTTCTTTTTTCATCAAAAAGAGCTAGCAATGGAGGATTAGCAAGCGCTGCGCAGATCTGGTCCCATTCGAGCTCATGGGCTGTTGTCCACTCAAACACCGATGCTTCTTTCACCAGGCTACGCAGCAACGCCGTTTTATCACTCAAAGCTGGCAGGTATTTCCGAAAGTAGTTCACAACCCTGAGTAATCTGCGCACACCCTGTTTATCTTTTGGGGCTGGCATGGCTCGGACGCTTTCGATTAGATCAAGGTCCGGACGAATTCCGTCTCTTCCGATAACGTCGCCAAGGAATGCAACCTGCGTGGTGCCGAACACGCATTTAGCTGGATTAAATGTCAGCCCTTCCTCTTGCGCCCGCCTTAGTACTGCGATGACGCGTTCGTCGTGTTCTTCCTTTGAGTCGCCCCATATTAAAACGTCGTCTACGTAGACGCGCACTCCCGGCAGCCCCTCGAACATCTCTGTTAGTCTTCTGGAACACCTCGCTGGCTGAGGAAATTCCGAAAGGCAGACGCAAAAAATGGTACCGCCCAAATGGTGTCACAAAAGTGCATATTCGTGAAGTGGCCTCATCTAAAGGAATCTGATGAAAGCCGGCATTAGCGTCGAGCCGGGAGAAATATTGTGCTCCTGCCAGCTCGCTCTCTATGTCCTCTCTTGAAGGAATAGGATAGTGCTCCCGCTTAATGCTCCTGTTCACTGCTCTAGGGTCCATGCAAATGCGAAGGGTACCATCCTTCTTGTGCACAACTACCAGGGGGCTCACCCATTCAGTTGGTTCATCCACCTTGACGATGATTGAGGCCTTTTCCATTCGTTGCAGTTCTTGTCGCGGGAGTCCTTTCAACGCTATGGGTACTCTGAGGGCAGGCTGCACGACTGAAACGGCATCCTCTCGTAGCACCATTTTGTAGGGTCGCCTGACGCAGCCGGTGCCGCTGAAGAGGTCAGGAAATGCAAGCTGGAATTTCGTTTGCCCATCGCCTACCTTCACGGCGTCCACCGTCACCGGTACCAGACCAAACTGCTGGCATGTCTTTAAGCCAAGGATGGCTTGGCGCCCCTTTTTCACAATAAAGAACTAGACTGAATGCTGTGCTTCGTTTATCTCGAGATCTTCGGTCGCCACGCCAACGTGTTTGATTGTACTGCCGTTGTAGGCGGAGAGGACAGCGGCGCTCTTTCGCGGAGTGCTTGCGTGGGCGATTCGGTTGAACAGGGTTAGGGGCAGCAAATTTGCCTGAGACCCGGTATCTACCTTGAATTGTATCTCTAGACCGGCTATTTTTCCGCGAACCATCCAATCCGCTCCTATATCTCCGGTGACGCCGCAAATGCTGATGCCCAAGATGTCAAAATTTTCATCGCTTTCTTCGGCTTTGTGAACCTCGCTTACCCTGCGCGCATTGTTGCAGCATGCGGCGAAGTGATTTCGTTTCTTGCATGCGTAACAAGTTTTTCCATACGCCGGGCACCGCTCGGGGGCATGTACCTTGTTACAATTTCGACACCGAGTTCCATTCGCAAACTTCGTGTGGTGTGTGCGGCGTGTAACGTCAACGTGCAGGCTTTCATTTGACCATGCTGCGCTCTGAATGGCAGCAATCTCAGCAGCTTTGCAAATTTCTTCTGCTTTCTGCAAGTTTAAGTCTTTGTCGCTCAGCAACTTTTCTCGAAGTTTCGCATTATTTGTACCAAACACCACTTGATCCCTGATCATGGACTCTTCAAGCGTACCGAAGTTGCACAGCTTTGCTTGCTTTTTTAAGTCCCGTAAGAACCGCTCAAAGGGCTCGGCCTCTTCCTGCTTTCGCAGTCGAAAAATGTGCCTTTCGTAGACCTCATTACCCTGGTCGACACAATATTCTTCAAATTTCCGCACTAACGTGTCATAATCTTCTTTGCTCTCACCTCCCGCAAACGAGAAGTTGTTGTAGACCTCGAGCGCCTCGTCCTCCGCGGTGCTCAGCAGAATCGCTGCTTTTACGGCCGATGGGCGGGGCTTCTCCGGTTCCGTAGCGGTGATGAACAGCTGCAGCTTCTGCTTGAATACCAGCCAGTTTTTCCTGATGTTGCCGGACAGTTGCAGCGGTTCCGGGGGCTTGACGAGGTCCATTTCGAACGTCAGTATCCCACTTCTGACACCATGTATCGTTTAGCTTAGAGACAAGACGACGATGAACACGTGGCTGGGCCTCGCCATAACGAAAAAGACCCCTGGCCGTTTATTTGCTGGGCTTAAGTAGCCGCGCTCACAGCGGGGAAGGGGTAAAGAAAGAAAAGGAAGGAACGTAAAGCGCACGAAACAGTTGAGAGGAGGAGAAGACGATATCGCCTAGGGCGAATGCTGATAGCAGATAGTCCGGTCTGTTAGTGTTGAAGTGAACATACAACTTACCGGTCACACTAGTTCTTTTTGTGACAGCTGAACGACTGGTTAGGGTTTTCTCCGGCAAGACGAAGTCAGCAGAAATTCTTTCACCAGCTACAAGGGAGCTGCCACCTGCAGAGGTTTGGTCAACAGTCAATTTGGGTAAAAAAAGAAATCGCGATACTAAACGCACCCTGCTCATCGGGGCACCTCAATGTGTGGGAGCCGCTTTTTGAAGCCTCTACCGCAGGTCCTGAAGAAATGAAATTACGACAATGTGTCAGTAAGAGGCTTAAAATAACACAAACTGAAGCTCATCCGCACCTTGCAGTGCAGCTTCTGCAGTCATGTCACAGTCACTATTTGAAGCGACGCTCGGAGAACGTGCATATATGTGCAGTTGGTACAAGTTACAAAGCTTGTAGCATGGGGAAACTTAAACAGCTCTTTCAAACGCATAAATTGGTCGAACGTGGAAGAAAAGAGAAGGCACCAACTAGGAAACAAGTAATTTGTGATTTTTGGAATTATCAACAGTGCCAGCTTTCATCGATGAAAGGTATATGTACATGTGCACTCAGGCTTGAAGATAACGTGAAATAGCCATTTAAAGTCTTTCAAAACAAGTTGCGCAGGGCAAGAGCATCAAAAAACGACAGGAATGTAAAGCTGCTGTTAGGAAGGTAATAGCTCACAATTCACAAAATTTAAGACTTTCCAAGTGTTACTTCTATAGTGAGGTTTCTCCATCGGTTGCAAAGATCTTCGCGGTTAACTGTCGCCACTGATTCAATACAAGTGGCTGCTATTGCACATATTTGAGTTTCAGACAATCACTTACATGGTGCAGCTGGTTGCACACTGGGAACAGCCATTCTTGTAAGCCTTGTGTGCCCAGGGTCCATGAAACTTTGAGCAGTAAAATGGTCGCTACAAACCCTGTATGTACGTTGCGTACAATAGGCTGGCCGGCTTACTCAGGAGATCATCGCGTCCAGCATACTACATCCATGCTTTCATCCTGCATTGGCAATGAACTATCAGCTGAAAGGGGAAGTGCTTGAATAGTGATTTTTATTGTTACCCTCACTAAGCAAGTACGAACAGTAAGCCTAAAGACATGCAAACCATACAAAAGCTTTAACACACCTGCCATCCCGTGGTATGCAGAAGAAACTCGTCCCAGGCTTCTTGTGGGTTCTGCCATTGTTGAAGCACCACGATACACAGCAGTAGCTGCCGTAGCTTGGACCGCCGGACGGCATGGCATCAGCGCGGTCTGAAAATGTTAGTAAGTGGATGCTTCGCTGTCAAATTACGAAAAAGATATGTGCACGTCATAAGTGTACCAAAAAACCCCTTTGAATGATTAGCTAATCGATGCACAATACAAAACCAGTGATACATCTCTGACCCATAAAACTCTGACTTACAAAGATATACGTCAAGACCACGTACAAAGATCTTCAGAAGTTTCCAGGCCGCTATCCCTTGTAATGCAATGGTATCGCGGGCTGGGAACATTAGAACACCTTCGTACGTACGCAGTATCAGCAGTACATTGGGAAGAAAAATCGTAGTTGAAATTTGTGCGGTAAAATTATATTGGAAACGTCAAAAACATTTGTGAGCAGCTTGCACTAGTGGCACAAGGCTAGCAAAGAAACGAAGATGATGGCCACTTAGCTAGTCCAGATTTGCCTCCGGCACACCAAGAATTATTCGTGTTCCGAGCCTTCGGAAAACGCGTCGTGAAGCATGCGAGGCCAAGCGAACGCTTCTCAATATTTTGCACCGAGCCACCGAGCCTATGACCTAGCTGCCCAGCTATGCTCAGCGCACAGACGCTCGCGTCCGTGGCAGACGCAGCACGCGTCGCCTCGGCTTGACGCCGTGCCGCCTTTGCTATACTGCATACGTTGCACAATGTTCCTGTCTAGCCGCCGCATAGAGCCACAAACTTTCTTTTTAGCGAACCTCCCAGTCCTTACAACCTTCACAAAAAGGTTACAACTGCGTGAATGAGACGCCACGTAAGAAACAAACTCGCACACACTAAGCGCAACGTGTGTGTGTTCATCTTTCTATGTTTGTTGCATGGTGTCTTATTCGCGCAGGTGTAACCATTTTCTGAAAAAAATGACCCAAGACCAACAACATGTCATTCAACAAGCTTCGCTTGAAAACCTGCCTCACCTGTTATCTCACGCACGAAAACGCCGACGCAGCCGACGTTGACGAAAGCTTATCGCTGTCAGTCATGCATGGGCTTGTCGCTGGGTGGATGGTGTTTATGACAGTACGGCTGAAGAAAAATAATCGCGTAAGGTGTGTTGAATGAATTGTTTTTATGTATAAAGAACATACTAAGTTTGGGCGTATAATTATTATTTTGTGAAAACAATTTTGTTGCATTGATTATAACTGTTTTTTTTTTGCGCTTGCGTCCTCTGAAGTTTGGTGAGAGCACTAGTTCGTTACGTAGTCGTGACGCACTTCCTGAGGCCAGGTTTTGCGGAGTGTCCTCTCTTGTTTTCTTCTTTCTCTATGAATATACCTCGTGCGCCAATGGCAGCCCAAGGTCATTATCTCGCGAATCCACAGTGAAACGCGGTTCGTGCGCTCGACCGAATATGGCGTGGAGCCGAAAACGTTTCACCGACGGGCTGCCAATGTCCGATAGAGACAACTATGGTACGTACCGCATGCACACCATTTAAATATATTGATTCGTAATCCGCCTTTTCTTGCGATGCCTCGATGCACGAGCCTTTTCTCGTGGCATAAATGTCGCCAAACGCCTCTTGATCCCATAGGCTTTCGTTCTGGCGATACCTGTTGCCTCTACCCCCAGCAAAACCGCAGCGTACGGAACTGAAAAGGGTGCATTGCGATATTGTGGCTGGATTCGCATCTAGCGATTTCGCTTTAGTGCCCTTTGATCGATCCGTTTAAATGCTGCTTGTTTTACTTCGACTCGCCGCGTTTGCTGGCGAATGCGCGCCGTCAGTTCAGTTGTTCACGCTTTTGTCAGCTCTGTAGGCGAGTAGAACCCTGTCAACTAGTGCTATATGATTCGGAGTTCGGGAACGAATATTAATAAAAAAAATGTAGTACGCCGCCACACTTGCAAGTGGCAGTCGAAAAGTTTCCGGGACCTTGTGGCGATATGCTTACCATAACACCTTTGAAGCATAGGCTGAGAGTAGGGGGGGGGGGGGGGGGGCTGGAGGACTCTGGCGTCCTCCGGGCTGCCTCCCCCCCCACCCCCCTGAACGCGGGCCCAGGCTTTTTTTCTAGAACTTGCCCGAGCCCCCCCCCCCCCCCCCTCCCCTCTCAGACGCAGACTCAGGATTTTTTTTAAGAACTTGCCTTAGGCTCTCATCTACTGCCATCCTGTCTTGAAGCTATTTCACAGATGATCTTTTGCGCCCGTTCGTTTTCTTTCATACATTTAGAATTCGAATCATGGGGCAGTGACTAGTGGGGAGTCGGGCGCCGTGATCGCATTGTGAATGAAATATCAGGATAACGGAAAATGCGTAATTTGCACGGCACTTGTGGAAAATAAGTATGGTATGTTCGTTTACCCATAAAAAAAATCACCCCGAAGGGAATCATGAAGAAATGCGAATGCATTGCGTAACGTCCATAGCGGTGTTTTGCACGTGAGAACCGAGCGTTGGAAAAATATTTTTTTTGCTGCGTTACTCACACTTCCCCGTCTCAAAGTTTCTGACATTCGCCGTTAGGGGCACGCAGAACAGAGACGCGTGCTCGCGTCCCCAATGCAATCTGCCGACTGCAGGGCGCGAGACTCGCGTTCCATTTTCACCGATGCCGTCTCGAGGTTTCTTTTTTTATCCGCTAGGCTATGCATTGTGGCATTGCAGTCTGGCTGGAAAACTCGACTGAACGGTGCCTCATTTCGCCGCACGTGCCGTTTTTCTGTCGCGAGAAACGCGGTATGCATTTCCAGATAGCAGCAAAACAAACAGCGTTGTCGGCCTGGCGTTGGAATTTCACAGCGGCGTCTCGAGCACACATTTTCGAATATTCTTGAGAGACGCCCAACCAGAGAGTGAGGCGCGAGCGGACGAGAAAGTGGGGCGCAGGGAGGAGAGAGAGCAAACGGTGAGAGAAGGAGCGGCGAAGCACTGCACCTGTCATTTTACCGACGCCAGCAGACGCTGCGCCAGGCTGCTATGTGCAGCTCGGCGCCCGAGGTCCAGGACCAGATCCTGGATTGGGCCCAAGAGGGTAGCGGAGACCTACGCTGGGTAGGCTCCTCTGACACTCCACCACCGCGCCTTTCCCTATTGGGATAGTTTCTGTCCTCCTCCTCCCTGCAGAAATTAGGCGTCTCTTCTTCCTCTAACCACAACCACCACCATTGTACCTGACGGCCATAATGTCAGCATCTCATTAACATAAACGCTACACAAATGTTGGCAGCACAAACGCTAGAACACGTTTCAAACGCTCTGCATTGAGGCGGTGGCAAGTCACGTTCAGGTAAGAAGGTAGAGAAAGAGAAACAATATTTAATAATAAAAAAGTGGTTCATCGCGGGTGGGGCCCTTCTTCTAAGGCTCCACTGGCTATAGCTGCTCGGCGGGCCTGACCAAGGGTCGCTAGTTGGCTTCCCAGGGTCCGTTCAGCGAGTCGCGCCTCCCACGACCACGTATGTATTGGTTGCGTATGTCCTAGGTTGACTGTGACAGGTCGCTCTGGACAGCTGTAGGTATAGTGGAGGAGTATCTCTGCACCACGGGCATGCATTGGGATATCTTGCCGGGTACATCATGTGAAGCGCGTGAAGAGTTGGGAATGTATTAGTCTGCAGGCGGCACCAGTCCCAAGCTTGATGTCTATTGAGGTTCTTATGGGGAGGTGCCCTGATGCGGCGATCTAATCTTTGTTTCTCTAAAGGATTCCACGCCGTGTCAATCCTTCATCTGTATCTTCTCTAGAAGAAGGTGGGGGCTCCGGTTGCTAGGGGCGATGATAAGTGCGCGCGCCTGCAGCTGTTGCTGACAGCTGCCGGTGGTGGTGAAATATAGACGATTTCAAGATTGCAAGCTTTGTGCCCCCAAAAAACTTCCGGTCACCTCATTTACCAGCTCGCAACGTCAAAACTGAAAGGACGTTTTCACGTTTTTTCAAGGGTAAGGAAAGTATCTTTTATTTTTTTCAGAACGTGCCTAATGTTCAAAACAATCTTTCGTAGTTTTTATGTAGCTCAAAAGAACATTTATTATTTATTTTAATTTATTTTTTTCCAGATGATGGAAGGAAAGTGTAGAAAATCAGCGGGCTGTTTTCTCATGCTCTTCTTCCCCACCTATGCTATTATGGCACATCGGTGGACGAAACCGGAAGTCATCAAGAGTCTCTGTTTATTCACAAACAAAAATTGACTTCGTATGGGCATGTTTCACTGCAAATGTCATTGAAAGACGATAGTCTTTCGTGTGAAGAGAGTGAACAAACGTTAATTTGGTGTTCTGTGCGATAGAATGAGTGAATTGTATTTTAGAAACGCTGCGTTAGAGAGTCGATCCATGCAGTGAAGGCGCACGAGCGCATCGAGGCACGTTGCTTTAAGGATGGATGGATGGGTGAATGTTAGACACGAGCGCCATCTGGCAGTTATCTTCGAAAACGGAGGAAGGCGTCAGCGCCCGCGGAGAAAGATGCGCGCCTGTCTCGGAAGCGATAAGGAGTAGAATGCAAACCGACAGGCAGGTGCCACCATCGTGTCGTTTTAGCCAAGCATTGGAAACACTTGCCTTTTTGAGCATCGCATTGCACTGTCAGCGCAGCGTGATAAACGCTACGGTCCTTAGAATTACTTGTGTGTGCATTCTATACTATAAAATTAAGGCACACATAAAAACATCGACGTGTGCCTCAGATATGCACAATAAAGCGTGCGGGGAAAGGGCCACACTGCGGCACATGCTTTGGGAGTGTGCTTGAAAAGTTGACGTCACTGTCCACCGCTTTCTTCGCGACGCACGGGACGACTTGCCGATCGGCGGCGTCAGCTGTGCTGCCGCTGGGAGGCGGAACTCCTCTGGGATGAGCTGGCCGACCAGCTTTGGGCCGTCCGGCAAGCTGAAGATGCCGCCCGGGTCCAAGAACTTCAAGCGGTCACCTGAGGCACCGCTATCATAATCGACGGCGAGTGAGAAGGGACAGGGGTTAATCTCCTCTTCCCCCACCTTGCCCGGTGAAAACTGACGGACTTTAAATAAAGTTGATTCATTCATTGACGATCGCAAAAGTATGAACGCTGAAACGAGCAATATTGATTGCTATGTGGGGTTTAACGTCCCAAAACCAACATATGATTATGAGAGACGCTGTAGTGGAGGGCTCCGGAAATTTCGACCACCTGGGGTTCTTTAACGTGCACCCAAAATCTGAGCACACGGGCCTACAACATTTCCGCCTCCATCGGAAGTGCAGCCGCCGCAGCCGGGATTCGAGCTTCCGACCCGCGGGTCAGCAGCCGAGTCCATTAGCCACTAGACCACCGCAGCGGGGCTTGAGCAATATTGATGAGCGCTGCGGATGGGTTTGGCCGCTTGAGGTGTATCGTTTGGTGCCTTTAGGGGGATCGCTACCGCGTACAGACAAATGTACAGACAGACCAAATCTCTGGCATCGAAGGTCCCCAAGAAAGACTATCGTCTTTAAAAAAGGTGTAGGACCTCTAGCCTTATGGAATATGCGGAGTCTCCATTCCGGTACCCCAGCTGCCGTCCTGGCTCTATGAACCAAGGCCCGCTGGCGCTGTGCCTGAAGGTGTGAGCAGCCGAGCAGGGCCGTCTGCAAATCATGGCTCCGTGACTATTTCAATTAATGATCAATTTGATGATTACTTGGAAAAATGTTGTAGATATCGAGCCTCTTCGACGGCGTTCGTACTGTTTACATCTGCCCAATGGCAACATCTTTCAGGAGTGCAAATTGCGCCAATTCGATACCATTCCCTATTTTCGTGCCCAGCTGACCCAAAACCATGAAATTTGCCGACATTTTGTCACGCTGCACCACAGTAGGTGAGGACACTTATGAGACGCAATCGACCAGACATATAATGCCGCGCGCCCATCAGTCCGCTTGTTCCTGTATGTGCTGTAAGCTGAGAACTCTAGGTCCGCTGACCGCAGCGGATATCTATCGACGGGAATGATGCAACTTCAAGAGAAAAATGCGATGTCGCAGCCGTCATCCAAACTCTTTGCGGGAAATATGAATTTCCTAGTCAGCAAACGTGGTTGTGTCATGCTAGGTTTTAAGGTCGAAATTTCCGGAGCCCTCCACTACGGCGTCTCTCATAATCAAATGGTGGTTTTGGGATGTTAAACCCCACATATCAATCATCATGTTAGGTTTTAAAGCTAGAAGCGTACATGCCGCGTTTTCCGAGCACGCAAACAAATCAACGATATGCGATACGCCTGTGTTGCCGCCGACCACGTTGGTTGCCATAGCTATGGCACATGATACATTCTGTCTTGAAGTTAGTTTATCTGGTCGAACGTGCCTTTTAAGCTAATCGAGAAGTTGTGCCCTAATCGAAACTCCACCGGGTGGGGGAGGGATCGAGGGGGGTTGTCGCGGTTCCGCAATATCTTGGCTTTGTTCCATATTGTGCAAAACGCTGTTTTTTATTCACCTGCACCACAGTACGAAAGTGTCCCGCGAAAAAGCGTATTGAAGTTTAGAAGGTGCTGTTATCGCTTGTCTCTGGACACAGCACATTTTGTTCCTCATAGCTGTGTATACTAACGTATGATCACTACTGACATTTAAAAAATTACTGGTAATCATTTGGAACAGTGTACATATGACACTTCTGCAGCCCTAAGAAAGAAAGAACAAAACCGTATACCAGATTTTTTTTTTCCTCCATCCCCACTCATTATGCTTTACCAATCTCCTGGATTTCAAGATCACCAGCTTTACAAATCCACATTTGAATTTGCATAGTCTGCTGTCAAACGATTTGACAGGTGCTGCAATTCTAATGTCGACTTCATCATTGCTTGCACGGCAGATGTTTCAAAATGCTAGTTTTATTGATACAGCAGGGCTCAGGTTCACTGTACACAATTCAGGTGATGTTGAACGATTTGTACATATTTTTGTTTTCTTTTTTGAATGTAAGCGTTGTTTGTTATACTGATACTTAAATTTTGAATTTCGTGACTAAAATATGGATGTCTTTTATTTCCCTAGCTATAACATGCTCCAAATTTGGATTTTTCGTGCTTCAAAAGTAGCATTCTCGCTGCTCCAAAAATTACATCAAAGTTTATTTTGGCTGTTGCACCCCTGATCTTTGTGGATTACGAGCTACCAGTTGATGTGCCAATGAAGCTGTCTGCGACTACCGTTAGTAGCGGTTTAGCCAGAGAAGTGGTTTAGAGGATTAAACTCCATGCCACCTTTGCTTCTTGATGGTAGAATGCAGGTACCTATGTGCTGCACGTATGGAACGAACATATTACAAATGCAGTACCATGCAACTAGTAGGCGTGTCTCACGTCGCAGATTTGTATGTGGTAGGTGAAGCACACTGGAAAGTTTTTTTTTTTTCCTTTAAAGACATGTGCTAGGTTTCTCCCAAAAACGCACCGCTGCATGAACACTCTGTTCGCAGATGGCAGTGAAGGCAAAACACTGTTCACGGACGACATCGACGTCTTGGACGTGGTTGACTTTCCCTGCCTCGTGGATGACGACACAATGAAGTTCCTGCGCAGCCACGGCCGCATCTTGTTCCTGTCACGCGGACCTCCTGGGTCGGGTAAAGGGACTGTGGCCGAACGGCTCCATGAGCTGTACCCAGGCAGTCGCATATACTGGTCCGATAAGATGTTCCTCACTCCTTTGGCTCCTCCCAGAACCAAGGAGACTCTGAGTCAGTCGCACGAATTGTGTCTGCAAAAGTACGGTGCTTGCATCTCTCTCTTTTTCACGTATGTGTGTGTGCATGTGTGTGTGTAATAATAATAATTTATGGGCTTGAACATCTTAAAACCAATGTGATATGAATATGAGAAATTCCGTAGTGGTTTTGTCTTCATTGAAAATGTGGCCGCCATGACAAGGGATTCGATCCTGTGACCTTCGAGTCGGCAGTCGAGCACCATCTAAGGGGTGGGTCATATCTTTCAACTTTTAAGGGGCCCTTTCTTCCACACTTTCAAAGCCCTAATTTTTTCGTGAGTTTATATATATTTGCGACTTGTTTTCGAGCTTCCTAACTTGTTGTAAATCTCTGTCGCCAGTCAGCTGCACCACGCAGTTTAACCACTCTCTGCACGCTGCAGGATTACAAAGTATATGCAGCAGAATGAAGCAGTCATAATCAACAGAAACACCAACATGACAGTATGGGAGGCATCTCCGTACCTGCGGATAGCTGCCACCTATGGCTATACCGTGATCATTCTCAATATCGACAAGAACTTCATACTGAAGCCCGAGGTAAGCACCTCGTGAACTCAGACTGTTTATCATAATAGTTTTTTTTTGAACGTGCAAAGTATCTTCAATAAACCAAAGGCATATTTATCATATATGATTCCTTTCTGCCTGTCGGCCTGTCAAACCAAGCAACTGGCTGGCCAGTTGGTGCACATCATTTCAGTTATGCCATGTATGTTAGAACTTGCATGGCAAGACATGGGTGCATGACAAATATGAACAGAACTACATGATTTTAATGCATGTCATTGTGTAAAGTTTAATGACAAGATGCGATCGTGATGCTGCGATGACATAGTATCATTAAATTGGTACCATTCGGTCGAGTGTGCATGGCATAGCGTGTGTGACAACAATGAATGATGGGCATTGCGTAAATGTTGTATATGACCCTACTGTGGTGCCAAGACAAGCATGAACTTCTGTGAAAAAATTAAGCTGATATTTTAGAGAAATGAGAGGAAGAAAAGGGGCTGATGCTAACGCAAACATATATAACATCGTTTAAGCATAACGATACGAACCGCTGACAAGCCAGATTCATGCAAACTTTTCAGTGCACTTTAGTACTAGGTTTTTCTACGGAAAATGTGGCACATCTCAAATCACTTGCAGCCATATTTTTAAACTGTACAAATGAACGAAGAACTAGTCACTGTATTTGTTTCTTTTCCTGTCATGGCATGCCAAGTGCCATGTCATGAAATCTATGTGTTAATCTCGCAGATGATTTCGTGCCACATATAACGCATGACATCATGACATCACGTGCATGAAAAGGTTATAAATGACAGCGCATATCATTATACACCTTGAAATTTTTGCGCAAGCACACAGGGACACAGAAAAGAATACAAACGGGCACAATTTAACAACTGGTTTATTTTTTTGAAAAACATCCACTTTATACTCCTCGGATCTGCGCTCTCTGGTCACCAAAAAACAAATGCACTGTGCACATATCACAAATGTTTTTTTGGTGACCAGAGAGCACAGATCCGAGGAGTATAAAGTGAATGTTTTTCGAAAAATAAATCAGTTGTTAGATTGCGCCTGTTTGTCTTCCTTTCTATGTTCCTGTGTGCTTGCGCAAAAATTTCAAGATGAATATGTTCCAACTAGGCCAAGTCACAGTTTTGCTTTATTATACACATGCACTATGTATCTAAAATGGCATGCTGTTTCGTGACATCATAACATGCTTACAATGCTAATATAGATGATGTGTTATGGAACTATAGGAGCGAAGCATTTATGCTACAACACATGTATCGATAGGTACCGTGACATGCATGCATCGAATTGCATATGAGCGACATACGTGTCGTCTCATAGCATGCATTCTGGCATGAGTGCCATCACATCGATGGCGTGAACTACCAGATTATATATTCACACTACTGTCATCGTTCAATTGCCATCCTTTTATTATGGCTGCCACTCTTTAAGTGTTTCTGCCGGCATATTCAGGCATTGCATCTCTCAGCGTTATCTTGGATGTTAAGCAGTGCTGAGATCGGGTATCTGTAGACATGGCCACTTCGCCTTTTCATCTCTGTTGGTGTAAATGCTGAACGACACCAAGTGACACCAGAGGTATGAGGCACCAACAAATGCTGGTAAAACATCGAAAGTAAAGTGGATTGTGCGGCCACTCGTAGAGTGGTTAGCTGTGCCATCAAAAAGTAAAATGTGACTTCGCCTGCCCTTGGAGATGCGTTGCTTAGCACCAGTTCCCACAATGTGTGGAATTTAATGAAGTATTTTCTTGCGAGCTGATAGTACACAGTTGACTTGTGTATTATCAAGTGACATACGTGTTTGATGGATACAGCTTTTTTTGTTGAAAAAATGAAGTACATCATTCATTATCGGAGTACTCATAAACATATTTAGTAGTCTTATTTTTTGCCACGCACACGCGCACACACACACACACACACACACACACACACACACACACACACAAACAAAATACGCTGATACTTCATAATGTGCAACTTTTTTTTAACGAAAACGCTGAGGTTAAGCATGTCTTTTCAGAACTTTCCAGGCATATCTTATTTTCTTGGCAGTGTTATATTTGCATTTCACGAACTCGAAGCCACTTTCCCAGCTATGCAGAAAATGTTGACATCATGGCAATGTTGCCTTTCTGCTGGATCTAGCAGATTTTAGGCCTCTTTAGCCTATTTTATAACTATTAGATGGTAGTGGCTACCCTCGTGCAAAACTTGGACAGGACACATTTTTGCTGATGTGACAAAGGGGTAACAATGATGACATTCTTGCAGGTTCTTGCAGTAACCAACAGCAAGGGGTTGGACCAAAGGTGGATGACAAATAGGCTGAAGCAGTGGGAACTTATTTATCCATATGCGATGGGATGGTCACCAAGGCCTCGGGATGCTGCGTTCTTGCTGCGCCGTTACAGGAAGCTATCCGCTGCACTAGCCGACAAAGGTGAGTGATTTAATTGTTCCGGTGTAGAAGGGCCACAACCATGAGCATAGAGAGGACAATTTCCAATGATATAAAAATTGAGCTGGCATTTTTCTTGTGGTGTTTACTTTTGGGAAGATAATGCAGAGATTTGGGAATGACTAGCAGGTGTCATGGGTCTCTTACAAGTCTCGCTGGTCAAAGTTCATGCCAGTGCAAATTAATAGTTTGGCTACCAGCAGACTGATACTCAATGTAATAAGCCACGGAGGAAAAGATATTTAGGAAGTGAAACTATCTTTGACACGGGCATCCACAAGTGTCCAAATAGCGTCGCATAAAGAAAAACAAAAATAAAAAGCTCCAGCGGAGACATTCCAGTTGGTGGCACCTTGCAGCTCGAAGGGGCAACCACGATAAAAAAAGGAAACACTGCCAGCTGAGCACAGCCGAACGCGCTCCACATCCCTGCACCAAGACTGCGGCGGAATGCAAGCAACGTGCATGACTGGTTCGCTCGAAAATCGAAACGCCGGCAATTCCCTTTTCTGCCACAAGACGCCGCCAGCATTACGTAATTACTCGAATCTAGCGCGCACCTTTTTTCCAGTTAAGCGAGTTCATAAATCGCACGCGCGTTAGAATCGAGTACGAAAAAAAAAAAAAATGAATACGGTCGTTCTATTGCCATCGGCATTCCGAAATGGCCGCCCCCTACGTGCGTCGGCATGGCGCGTCGGCCATTTCTTCCTATGTGTTTCCCATGTGCGGCACTTCGTACGTGTGCTGAGGAGTGTGTCATCTTGGTGCGCATTAGCATCGACGGCATGGAAGGGCCGACTCCAAAAACTCGACGAGAGCACCACCGTGCCGCTTTTAAAAGAAAAGTCATCGCGTGTGCCCAAACGAACGTAAAGCTGGCTGCATCGCGGTCGTTTCGAGTTCCCGAAACGTGCGTGAGGGACTGGCAGAAACAAAAGCAGAAGATTGTCGACAGCAAAGCTTCACGCAAAGGCTTCAGTGTACCACAGCAAGGTTTGTTTCCGCAAATTAAAGAGCTGCTCGGTTGCCACAAGACGCCGCCAGCATTATTTGGCCCTACGGCAATGTGACACTATCTGGTTGCCTGAAGGAGCGGAGCTGCACCTTCTAATGTTTCTTTCTCTGTAGCCTCTGCAGAAGCTGACACATGCATCATGTTGTGCAATTTGTTCAGTGTATGCATCGTGCACTCATTGGCTAAACATGCCAGTTAAGTAAAATAAATCTTGATGCAACATGCACTAATCACGGAAGCTGGCAGCCTCGTGGATTTTCAGTTGGCATTATTTTCATCGGTGCTGGTGTTTATGTGCAGTTGAGTGTGCATCACAGCTGGTTTCATCGCAGTAATGAAACTATAAAGAGAAAGTTTATGTCAATTCATCATTTTTACTTTATGGCAGTCGCAATTGCAACATCCCTGGGCCTCCACACATGTAATGTTGCAGCTCGCTCGATCTCAAAGAAGCGCGAGAGGAGCAAAGCAGTACACCAGTATTGAGAAAGCCATCGTTTTCGCTTCTAGAGGGTGACGTGTTTTTTGTTACTGCAGATGCTGCCCTTGTAAATTTAGGTGAGTTAGTATGCAAATGTTTTAGCACAGTATGTGTAGGGCTGATAAAAATAAGTACTTTCATATGGCTTTTTAATGCATTGCTGTTGCAGTCAGTGCATCGCCTTTTGGGTGAAACTGATTTTTCGCAGTGAGAGCTGATATATATGTAGTAGTGTGAACCACATGCAGCCAATGCTTGAGCTTGAACTAATTGTTCAAACTCAAGCATTGGCTGCATGTGGTTCACACTACTAGATAGCAGTCAATATACAAGTATTAAAATTAAAATAAGAATGGTGGTTGTATTCTAATTCAAACAATTGAGTACTGCGTATGTGCTTCTTTGACGGTGATGCCGAAGCAACTCTTGGATCTCCGTTATATACAAAACAGGTTGTACTGAATAGCAGAAATTGGTTTCAATTGCTTGAATAGAGCACATTCTATAAAGAAAGAAAAAAGAATCCATGCGGGCCTCTCAGCAGCTGTAGAATTGAGAGTTGGTGATATTTTAACCCGTACCACAACAACTAATCGTGGAAAATTTTCTGAAATGGTGAACCCAGAGTATTGTAATGAAGCTAGCTTTTTTGCATAGCTGTGAAGCACTGCCGTCAAGCCACCTTGCATATCATAATTTTTATTTTTTAGGCAAAGCTTCATGTAACTGACTTGTGAAACCGGCGAGGTTTGCTGAAAATATCCTCACCCATAGCTTGATAGCACCAAAGAAGGCCTAGCTGAAGGCATGGCTGCTGCAGGTCATGAAGAGGCACAGAGATAGTGCAGCAATACTGTTAAAAAAGTGTCCTTAGCTCTACGAAACATGGAAAAAGCAGCAACCCTTTTATCCACCACTATCCCCACTACTCCCAGCCATACATTGCAACGGCCTCTGCCCCATAGTTTCTGAGAGAAAATGACACATGCTTGGCCATAGCGATCATTAGAGATGCAAGTTGGGTTAGTTGGAGTTAATTGCATTTCTCCAGACCTAGATAATTAGCAAAAGAAAAGACCAACAAACAAGGTAATGCATCCCATTTGTTTTCTTCACCATGCCCGTAGTCCTTTTTATATCACTACCTAGTTATGTCTATACCCACAGACAGCCTATCTTGGATGCTCCCCCAGGTGGTCGAAATTTCTTGAGCCCTCCACTACGACATCTCTCATAATCATGTGGTTGTTTTGGGACGTTAAACTCCACATATCATCAATCTCTTGGATGCTCATAGCTCTTTAGGGATGAACTGAGTGTGGGTAGGACTATATAAACAGGAAAGGGGGCAAGGGGTGTGCACTGGCATGAGAATAGGGAGGCGTCTCACAAACCGAGGAGAATCAAACAGTGCTCTCACTTCCTGCATCTTTCAAGAACTTAGTCATTGAAGCACATTTTGTTAACTTCCATCTGGTACCATCTACTTTTCCTTCTATTTAATTTCTTCTTTTATTGCCTAGTCACACCACTTTTCATATGGAAACAAACGAAGCTTTCAAAGGAATAGCCACTGCCGACTTCTATAATGGATACGGCTCAAAAGACAGCAGCTTAAAGCACCCACAAACACACTGTTTAGACTCAAGTTACAATTCCAGTGGCGCTGACATAAACGTGGCACTGACGAGTATACAGGAGTGAGGTCCTCTAAGGCATGCTGATGACATGCATATTTGCATGCGCCATTTCCCAATAATTGATTCTCTTGCTATCACCAGTTTTTCAGCTATCATCCATTTATGTAATGGCAATCTGATCTTTTGTAGACATCCCCTCATTATTTCACTTTGCTGCATTTCATTCTTGCCTTTCATTGTTTCATGCACGAATGTAGTCATTGCCTGTAGCAACAGAAGTGTTGCACTGTTAAGCATGTTAGTGAAGGTCATAGAGGAAGCAAGAAGTTAGGCAGGAAGCATTGCTGCAATGCAATTGAAAGAAATAAATAAAGATATGCCAGGCCTGCATTGAACACGCAGTAAAGTCCAGAGAAAGCTGATAGAGTGGCTTTTCTAGAGCCCTTTGTAAACTCTCTTGGGGCGCGCATGGCAAATGCAGTTGTGAGGTATCCTCTACGCTATCTGTCATCATAATTTTTCAAACTAGGTAAGATCGAGCGTACGCAGAGGGGAATGCTAGTGGAAATGGCTGCCCCCTCTCCCCTCTTAGAATTTCGCAACTTATCACTATTTCTATGCAGTAGTGATCAGCTGCATGGCTTTGTTAGCACTTTCAGCAAACAGATCCAGTGTATCTGTTTGAAAAACTTTTTTAGGATTGAGACCCAACTTTTCGCATTACACAGTATGACTTATTGTGCCGGTGATGTTGCGGCAGGAAAAGAAAGATGCCCAGATGCCAATTTTGCGCAGTGTCCCGCGAGAAACTGCACTTGTCTTGCGTGCGGAAAAATCGGACATTTTCAGTCCGTATGCAATTCCCGTCCAGCAAATCTTCCTGAACCAGTTTCTTCGTCCACTCCTTCGAGCACTGCACAGACCAATACGGTCACTGTTTTAAATGTGGATGGCCTCCACACTACGTCTGAGCTCAGCATCGTAGCTTCAGTGGGCCATGTTCCCTTGTCATTTCTCATGGACACTGGTGCCTCAGTCTCTTTAATCAGTGCCACTGACTTTCATAGTCATTTTTCCAACATTCGGCTTTTGCCTTCACGCGTCGTTCTACAAACATATTCCAAGGAAACGATTGATATATTAGGTCATTTTACAGCTCAGGTCTCCTATCGCAGTCGCACTGCTTCCATTACTTTTTATGTAACTGTCAATGGCAGCTCGCTTTTGGGACGTGATGCCATCAGGGCTTTGTCCATCAACATCGTCGGTGCGTCTATGACGTGTGCTCAAGTCGACATCCAAGATGATCTTCCGGCCAACGCACCTTCTGAATTCCACCACCTGTTCACCCGTGAACTGAGTTGTGTGCGCGGTTTTGTGCATAAATTGATGCGTCGACCAGGTGTGTGCCGTTTGTGCCAAGCTGCGCCGCATTGCTCTTCTTCTCCGTGAGCAAGTCTCTGCGGAACTGTCTCGCCTTCAAGCCAGCGGAATCATCGAGCCTGTCTCTGCTTCCGACTGGGTTTCTCCACTGGTCGTCGTCAAAAAAAAAGATGGATCCCTTCGACTATGCGTCGACTTACGAGAACCAAACAAGGCGATCGTCGTAGATGGTTTTCCACTTCCTCACATTGAAGAACTGCTTCATCAGCTCTCCGGAGCAGTATGTTTCTCCAAGCTGGACCTCGCGTCCGCTTATCACCAAGTTGAGCTTTCTGAGTGCAGTAGAGACTTAACCACTTTTGTATCGCACGAAGGCTTGTTTTGGTTTCGCCGCGTGTGTTTCGGGCTTGCATCTGCCCCTGCAGTGTTTCAGAAAATGATGTTAATTATTCTTAAGGGTTGCAATGGCGCTCTTTGTTACTTGGATGACATTTTGGTGTGGGGACGTACTCGCGAAGAGCATGATGCTAACTTGCATACTGTTCTCAACCGCATCAGTGAATGTGGTATGAAACTTAATAACAAGTGCATTTTTTCTGTGAATGAGTTACAATTTCTAGGACATAATGTCAGTTCCCACGGCTTGACACCTGTTGAATCTAAAGTTCAGGCCATTGTCAATGCTTCACGGCCTACTGATGTCAAAACCTTGCAATCTTTTTTAGGTCTTGTTGGTTATTATGCCAAGTTTGTCCCTCACTATGCTGATGTTGTTGAACCACTGCGTACTCTACTTCGACAAGCACAGCCTTTTAACTGGTCAGCTGAAGCTGAGCAGAGCTTCATTTGAGTTAAGTCAATACTGGCCTCAAAGCCAGCTGTTAGTATTTTCAATGAGAAGCTTCCCATCGTCATCACGACGGATGCGTCCGATGTTGGACTGGGAGCAGTGTTTCAACAACTCGGAGGTGATCAGCTGATCACTATCGCCTTTGCATCTCGTGCGTTGACCCCTGCTGAACGCAGATATTCAGTAGGAAAGCGTGAAGCTCTCGCGTGTCTTTTTGCCTGTGAGAAATGGCATGTTTACTTGTGGGGCAGGCACTTCACATTACGTACAGATCAACAGATCACCAAGCACTAGTTGCTCTTCTTTCTGCAGGATCCGAAGGCCGCCGCCCCATTCGCATTTCCCGGTGGTGTGCCAAGCTCATGTATTATAATTTCAGTGTTCAATATTGTAAGGGTTCTAATAACGTGGTTGCTGACGCACTGTCGCGCCTTCCTCTTCAGATACCGGTTACTGAAGAGCGGGATGAGGAAGTTGTTTCATTAGTTACTTCCTGCATTACTAAAACTGAGCTTCAGGCAGCTAGAGCTGCAGATTCCACTTTGTCTCAAGTTCTCAAATATTTACGTGAAGGATGGCCTTCCAAATGTGCTCTTTCTTCTGAATTCTTGCCTTATTTCGCAGTCCGACAGGAACTGTCTTGTGTCGAGGACTTGCTTTTCTGCGATGAACGCGTCATTACCCCTGCTTCTTTCCGTAACACGCTAATACAGCTTGCCCATGAGGCCCATCCAGGCATTGTCCGCACCAAACAGAATCTCCGAGACAGGTACTGGTGGCCAGCCTTAGACAAGCAGGTCGAGCATGCAGTTTACAACTGCCATATATGTCGGGCAGCTGACAAGTCTGCTAAACCTGTATTTTCTTCGTTGCAGCCAGTCCAGTGGCCTGATCGGCCTTGGCAGAAACTCTGCATGGACATCATCGGTCCTTTGCATAATGTTCCGCAAAATGCCCGGTTCATTGTTTCTCTTATTGGCTATCATTCCAGATGGCCAGAGCTTTGTTTCACACATACGGTTACTTCTGAGGTCATCATTGAGTTTCTGTCTTCAATCTTCAGCCGGGAAGGTTTTCCTGATGCCATAGTTACGGACAATGGTCCACAGTTTCAGTCCCAACACTTCGAGGCTTTTCTTTCACAACGAGGAATTCAGCACTTGAGGTCATCAGTTTTCTATCCCCAATCAAATGGTCAAATCGAGCGCTTTATTCACGTTCTGAAGGAACATATGCAGATCGCCCAATTAGAGCACCGTCCCCTCAAGCAAGTCTTGACTGAATGTTTAGCTTCGTACAGGTTCACACCACAAGGCACCACTGGAGTGTCTCCTGCTCAACTTCTCCACGGTAGGCAACCGCGAATTGCTCTCGACATAGTCTCTTTGCCTCGTAACATAGCAGTGTCCTCTCCTGATCAAATCCGTACCAAGGTTTTTTTCTCGTCAACAAGCAATGAAAAAGTATGTCGACACCCATCGAGGTGCAAAGCAGTCCAAAGTTCGCACTGGCGATCTAGTCAAGGTTCGTGTGCCAGGCAAGCGCCCCAAGTATCGGGGTCCTTACAAAGTCTTGGGCCAGGTTAGCCCCACTTCGTTTCGCTTGAGTGATGGTAACATCTGGAATGCTTCGCGCCTTGTTATTTTTCATACGGATTCGCCTTCAACACCTAAATGTCTTCCTCATCACGTTCCGTCCGCGCCTTTCAACTATCCATCAGATTATTACATGTGGCCTCCATGTACAGGCATTTCTTCAAGGGGGGAGGAGTTACCAGTCGGTGTCTCTGGTTCAAGTACACCAAGTCTTACGGTTCACTTCGAACCTTCACATACGGCTGAGACCGTGAACCGGACTTCGGTCTGCAAAATTCTTCCAAAGTTCATGCTACGAGCTCTGATGAGACCGCGAATTTCAACGCTCGTTCAGAGCCTTCACAATCTTCTACTGCTCTTGAGGTTTCACATCAGAGCACAAGTGACCAAGGTGCAGAGACCTAATTCTACACCCAAAAGGGCCCTCCCTAAGCGGAAGCGGCAGAAGCCGCGTCGGTTCGCAGACTACGTGATGTAGAACTTTTGTTCATTACTGTTGTGAACATTATTGTTCTGTGAAAAGGTCTAATGCATTCAAATCAATATTGTACTGAGTTGTGTACATTTTTTTTTTCAGTGCATTTTCAGGACTCGTAGTGTGTGAGTTCGGTGTGCCGTGCTCTGAATTTTCATGTGTTCTAACGTTCATCGATCATGTATAAATGTAAACAGTGTATAGGTGAACTTCTTTCGAGGAGGGGATGACTGTTGTGTTCTGGGTTTCGGTTTCGGTTTCGGAATGACGTGAGGATGCCAGGGGGCGCCGCTCTGGCATCCAGGATTTCAAGGCGACTGTAAAATAAAACCAGTGTGTGTTGGGTAACCGTGGAGTGCGGTTGTTCTTCTCTTCGACGCTTCGCTGCCTACCCGCGTGTTCGGGCTGGTCGGCGTCCCCGCCAGCCGCGTACGTCTCCGTCGGCTGTCTTCTTCTTCTGCTTCGTCGGGACCAGCCAGCCCCCAACACAGCACTAGCCTTTATGGCTTTTCTGTTACTGCCCGCTGACACCTTTTGTGTTACTGCCCAACATACGCAAATGAGCGGCTTCACCTGTGCGCTGTTCTAAATCAACTGGACGGAAGTGATGTCACTGTTGAGAAAGTATTGGTACCATGCCGCTACCAATCCCAGTTCTGAAAGGCAACGAGAGCACTGTTGCGTTTCCTCAAGGACACCGCTCGATTCGTGTGTGATGTGAAACAGTTACGCATCGGCCCATTCAGAAACCTTTTCTCCTCCTCTATAACTTTCCTTCCTCTTCCACCTGTTGACCAGTGTAGGGTAGCCTACCGGGCTCGGCCCTGGTTAAGCTCCCTGCCTATCTCCTTATTCTCTCTCTCTCTTACCCCTCCAATTTGTGACCACATAGAGTTGTATCTCACCACTCTTCAGTGTTGTTCTTGTCATCTGTGTAATGCAAAGTAATGGCAGATGATGATGAAGAATTATGGCTGGGCCTTTTATGTTAGGGTTGGGTGGCTTTAAACCATCCACTCATTAAGAAATTTGAGTTATGTGACTTCTGCCATTGTTTTACTAATCTATCATGCTATAATACCTCTGTTAACATGATTCCCTTCGAGACATTACACCTGTATAGGGTCTTTTTTTTTTGTCAAGAAGCACCAGTGTGGCTCTGTGGTGTAGTTCTTGAATGCCACGTAGAGAGCCTGGTTTCAAATCTCGCTCGGTTCTCAATGTGTGCAATATTTGTTACGAACCCTGGCGGGTGTGGCGAACACCAACCGAATTGGCTGCTGTTGCAATCTTGTAACAGTTTTAGCTTTAAAGTAGGCCATGCTCTCACATGCCAAGCTTTGCTTACCTCCATTTTCTCAATAGTGAAAGGGCTTCAAATGTTTACCTTCACTTTAGCTCTAAATTTTCACTATTTTTGCGAGGAATAATGGTGACTCGTAGAGTGTTTAGAATGCGCTGTTGAGTGTTGTTAAAGTAGCCAGTCTCTTTTTGTTATTACAGGTATAATCCTTAAACCAGTTCAGTGTGAGCAGTTCTTCCCCTTCTGCATTGCAAGATTGTGCTGGTTTGGATGGGATGAGCGGGATCGGAGCTTCTGCCACAGTGAACCGGTATGCATGTGCTGACCGTCATATGCTGATCTACAGGGATTGGAAGTTCTGGGGTAGAGACAAAGTAGGGGACTCGATGTCTGTCATTTGAGCCCTTATAATTTGCAGAAAAAAATTTGACTGTTGTTAATTGAGCAACTGTGACTGATGTGCTTACAAGCCACCCCATAAAGGGGGAGTAGCAATCGAATTTTGACCTCGTGAGAAATTCAGCACACATCTAAATTCAAGTATACACAGATCTTGCCATATCCTTGTATCTAAAATTAGTCATCAGGGGCTTCAAACGAAACTTAGTGACTTCGTGCATAGCAGTACAATGTCACAGCCTACTATGGTACTACTACGTCATTTGTGACTTATTCCCATAAGCAAAACATATTCTCATTTATGTAGCCAGAGATGCATGACATTAAGCTTGTGATCCAGAGTGCAATGCTGAAATCCTATTATCTGATTGGTTTTCAACATGTTCGTATGAATTTAAAAGTTAGAGCCATCATATCTGCAATGAGCCGCACATTACCTAAGATGCCACATTGTAATCATCCTGTTCGTTACACATCCACAGGTGGAGAAAGCTTATGGTTCAAAAGACACTATCACCGTTTTCGGCTACGCTATGGTCTGTGATCTGGTCATGGCTGTTGTCGTGCTCACAGAAGCCCAAGCAGCACTTATGGGAGGTAGTGAACAGCCAGCTAACTTGGAGACGGCAATCTCGAGACACGCAGGCAATCGCAAAGAGTGTGACGAAATGGTGTGCACCGTAGGCCTGCAGACGTTTGTGCAAAATGAATCTGATGAGACAGTGGTCTTGGAAGAAGGAGCGGTGTGCTGCGAGCTTCCACCGCCATCGCGAGTGAGCTTCATTCTCTTGGGCTCTGCCACTGACAAGGCCATCAAGTACAGCAGTGCTCTGGCACGTGCCAGTCTTCTGCACCACCACATGCACTCCTGGAGGGACACGGGTGCAGCGCCAAAGGTTTGTGCGGACACCGACGGCGTGTCCGTGTATGGCAAGCTCGCAGATACGACAAATGAAACATGTCTCCTAATTGTAGACAAGAAGACTGTCAGGTTGGACACTGTATTCACAGGCTACTACCAGGCTCACACGTCAAGGTGTGTTCTAATGTTTCACGATTATTGTTTTCACTGTACAGTACTCGCAGATTGAAAGAGGACAATTTATGGCTCTGTAACATACATACTTTCGTTTCCACCTCCGTGAGTGCTGTTCACAATGTGTATGTACACAGTTTTGTGCTCTAAAAAACATTAGGTGTGTTGAAAACATCTATGCTTGTAAATAATCACTTATCTTATATATTTATGCTTTGAAGGCTTTCTATATACTTCAAACGAATCTCATTTACATTGCACAACAAATAGATCCTCTATCGACCCTTAATTTGAGCTCCATAGGGTACACAACGTGTCATGCTCATATTTTTCATACTGCACTGCGTCACAATTATTGCATGTGTGATATTTCAACGATACTGTGACCCATATTGCAAGAAGCTAAAAGCGGGCTGACAGATCTAGCCTCTTGAACATTGATCTTTAAATAATTTCTCTGGTGAAGCATATTTCAGCAACTGTACTAAATTATCTACCGCCAGACATTGCTGTAGTTTAACCATGCTCTCTTTCTATACCAAGTTTTCCAGATTTCATAGTCAGATGAATTCCTTATATTCTAGGTCGAGTGGCCGTGATCGAATGTGGTCAACTGGCAATGATAAATGTGAATCGCAAGACCGTCGTACCTTTCATCGCTACATGCAAGGCACTGCTACCATGCGTGAGCTGATTTCAAGAATACTTTTCTTGCTAAACAGTCTGGAATGTCTTTTTACTTCTTGATCTTGAAATGTGTCTCACCGAGCACATGACAAAAATTGCCAGCATGTTTAAATGCCGTTCCAGTGTTCGAACTTTCATGTTGCTAACGATGTCGACATCAGTTAGTGGTCGACAGTCCCTTGCACTGTCATAGGCAATGACGAAAATTCTCTAGATAGAGAGAAAAACAGGAGCACATTACCTAGTGAATTTCTCGTATTTTCATGGTTTTAGTAAATACTGCATGCACACATGAAGGAGCATTTAAGGAGGCCAAGTTAACCAAAGCAGCATATTTTTGTATCAATACAAGTAACACTTTTTTCAAAATATGGCAATACTACATGATTTCTTGCTGGTGCCTTCCAGTACCCTCAAAGTAAGCCCAAGGTTGTATGTATAACTGAGGTTAAACTAATACTATTCGACTACTCATGAAAAAAAAAATTATACACTATAACTTACAAGGGTTATCCCTATTCAGTGACAAGATTGCGTTAAGTTTTACAATATTGATAGAATGTGAAATGTCGTAAATGACAATGGTGGAAGCTTTTGCATGGTACTTTACAATTCTGATCCCCGCTTATTACTATACACTCATGGCCGATACAACTTGCCATTCATTTTGTATAGTTGAGGCCGTTCACTGGCACATGGCAGTGGTCACTGTGGTTTTCAATACGGGTCGTCGAAGATGCGCACCAATAACATTCGCTGTGTTCGACAGTGATGCTATTGTGGAACCAATTCATGGAATTCATGGAATTCATGGAATTTTCACTGATCACACTGTGTGACACGTAGTGTATCAAAACTGTGCACAGTATAGGCAGGGTGCCATATATGAGACACTTTAGAGACACTTGGGCTGAGTGTGGCAGAGGTCTGCATTTCTCTTTTTTTTATTTTATCATAAATGAATAAATAATGTGAATGATATTCTGCATGAGCAGTTTGTTTCACATTTTTTTTTTTTTTGCTTGTAGCGAATAAGAAGCCATTGTCTCTTTGAGGCTGCAGTGCCATGTTTTGTATTTCCATAGCTGCATTAGCCCTTAATGAATATAATTTATGGGAACAACAATTTTTTTTTTCTTTTTCTGCATTATGACCCTGGTGTACAGCGACACCTCCCAGAAAACCCAACTGCTATTCAGCTGACGTCGTCCAGCGAGTGCTGGACTCTGTGGATGCTCCTTGTCTCAAGCACGGTGGGACTCAGCATTTTCTGCGCTACCACGGGCGCCTCCTTGTGATGGTTCGTGGCCCTCCTGGCTCAGGCAAGGACATTGTAGCGGCGAGGCTGGGAGAACTGTACACGAGCAGCAGCAAACAAACTGCTTTGTCAGAAGCTTCCAAGCCCACAACTACATCTGTGCCACTGGGCGACCTAAACAAGTGAGCTTGGCTATGTTCACCAATGGTCTCGGGTAACCTTCTGTCTCGGCTAGAGTTGTGACTTTGAACCACAACATTTAAAAGTTGCCTCTGCTTAGCGTCGCAATGCGTGTTTCAATGCCTGTGGCGATGGTGAGTGTAGGTAAGTGATCACAGTCAAATAAAGCTGCCTGTAGGGGTCAGAGATTTATGTAATGAATTTTTGGATACATTGCAAACTTGTGATGTAACATAATTAAGGGTAGCGCTTTTATATCTCATGTACTTGACTTTCTTTCTTTCTTTTTTTTTTTTCAGTGCTTCATGTATAACTGAGACAAGTCAATTATGCGTTATTCTTTTGACATGCTTAATAATATGTCCATTATCATTATTGCTCTTTATCAATATTTTATGTAACCCTCCTGTGACTATAGTAAACTTTTACAGGATGTTTCAAGAAACCTGTCTACTATTGAAAATTACAAAAAGGAGGTATCTGCATGATACCTGCACTGTTCCTTTTACTGTGACAGAATGCATCTTCAGATGCGTATGAACATTAATTATGGTAGTAATTATAGGAATTAATGCCATTATTTTTTAACTAGTGGAAATATTTGGTTAAATCAAATAGGCAAATTCAAGTCCTTCATGCAAGCAGCCCATAGCCACTTTGAAATTTCTGAAAGCCAGCCACTAGTAATCGCTGCGGGGTGACGAAATTGGGCTAATTTAGCAGGCCAAACTCAAACTGACACACCGAACAGCGCATCTATCATTCACTTCGAAAACTCGCTCATTGACGACACCGTTTTTCTTGCCGTTATTAACTGTCGATCTACATACATACATACCGTTCTTAAACTACATACTTTATTTTGTGGCAACGCTTTCCTGCCATATGGCCACTTATCGACACTTGCTTATCCTCCTCCCCCGATGCAAGGGAAATTGTGTGTTCACTGAAGGTGCTTTCGGCGTTTAAATCTTCAGCACCTTTTTCCAAATGGACTTTTGCAAGTTGCTCAGTCCTGATAAGTGAGCAGTGGCAAAGCGCAAGTATTTTTATTTTACAGCGAAAGCTGTTGTGCGATCACAATGAGGGTCGTTTGGGCTATAGTTGTGCACAGCTTTTAGTGTTCGTAACCACTATTACCGGAAGTAAAGAGAAAAGTAAACAAAGAAGGCCAGGGACACAATGGGATTTGAACCCGGGTCCCCTGCATGTTAGCCTAGTATTTTACCACAGACTATCCCCAGTGCTTGAAACTCTGTAGCGAACTTGCTTCTAAGCAGGCTTGAAGCCGGGAAAGAAATCGCGTTAATATCAGAAATAAAGTGTTTTACAACAGCAATAGAACAACCAGGCGTCGCACAATGCGAATCGTGTAACGAGTGGGTTGTCGTGTGCTCCACACGACAACCCACTTATTACAAAAGTTTCAGGCATGATTCTTCTTCGTCGTCAGCCACAGCATCAAAAAGTTGCACAAAACTCCTTGCAAATATGTAGTGGGTACCACACTTCTCCAAAGAATGATGAAGGATGGCATAGTGAATGCCTCCATACTACACAAAAAGTATGGTGATTTATGGCATGATGGGTACCCTAAAAGTGTACTTGGAGCAGTTACCCAAAGAGTGTTTAAAAAAGGCTCTGAAAAGCCGCTGTACAACTTTTGCTGTGACTGTGATGCACGTTCCGTGCAGGCCTGGTGGTTTTTTACATGCAAAAAATCTTGGAGAGTGTTCTGCTTCTGGAGGAATGGGTCATAGAGTACTAATTAAGCGAGTTTTTCTGCATTATATATGCTACGATAATGATAATTGGAAAGGTTGGTAGGCACACAACATAATAGGTGTGCTTGCATCATAGTGACTGGAGTTCAAAATTTTGAGCTTGAGAAATGAGCTCTTGAGAAGGGCATTTTCACTAGTCGAGGCCCTCGCTTTGTATTTATAAGCAATCAAGATTAACTTTGTGACTCCCCCATATGGTGTCTTTATGATAGCTCTATAATATAGAACGGAGACAGTCAAAACTGTTATCCGAGACCAGGTAGGAGCGTAGGCCTAGCTATCAAAATCAGCGACAGTCCGGGCCGAGCGTCTCGTGCTTAGCACTGACAATGTGTGTGCCGAGATTTGCATGACCCACTACAATCATCATTACATATTTCCCCCTCGCTGAAGATAATGCCAAGTAAGTGTTCTAAGGTGTCGTGAGGACAAGTGGTTCGTGATATGGTTTGAGGCGATTCACATGTACGATTTCGCGGCCTCGGCGACGCATGTCCACAGTGGCCGTGAGGGGTTCGATGAGGTAGTTAACAGCGGAAGTTTGTTCTATGACGCGATAAGGTCCATGGTACCTGCTGACAAACTTTGTAGAGGTACCAGGAGCAGCACTGGGGGGCACCCACAGCCAAACAAGAGAGTTGGGCGAAAATTGGTAGTTGGACCGTCCATCGTCGTGACGAAATTTCTGTAGCCCTTGTTCTTGGGTTGTAAGGGTGCGAGCTAATTGCCGACATTCTTCCGCATACCGCCTGGCTTCGGAAAGTGGTGTGCCTTCAGATGAGTCGGGTCGGTAGGGGAGAATGGTGTCAATTGGAGACGATGGTTCTCGACCATAAAGTAAAAAGAATGGAGAAAAGCCTGTCGTCGCTTGAGGTGCCGTGTTGTAAGCGTACGTTACGTAAGGAAGGATGAGATCCCAGTTGGTGTGGTCGGAGGCGACATACATAGAAAGCATGTCGCCAAGAGTACGGTTGAAACGCTCGGTCAAGCCATTTGTTTGTGGGCGATATGCGGTAGTACAGCGGTGAATTACATGGCATTCTGCAAGAAGTTCTCGAATAACATCCGCGAGAAAGACGCGGCCTCGGTCGCTCAAAAGTTCACGTGGAGCGCCATGACGCAGAACAAAACGTTGCAGCAGGAAAGACGCAACGTCACGTGCCGTCGCGGCTGGTAGAGCGGCCGTTTCTGCATATCTCGTGAGATGGTCGATCGCTACAATAATCCAGCGATTCCCAGCTGATGTATATGGTAGAGGACCGTAAAGGTCTATTCCAACCCGGTCGAATGGTCGCACTGGGCACGGTAACGGCTGCATTGGTGCAGTAGGACGGCTAGGATCGTGCTTGCGGCGTTGGCACTCTGTGCAAGATCGAACGTACTTTTGATCGAATGTGTACATGCCGCGCCAATAAAACCGAAAACGTAGCCTTGCGTAGGTTTTAAACAAACCGGCGTGCGCACACTGCGGATCGGCATGGAAAGCAGCACATATGCTGGCGCGGAGATGCCTGGGTATGACGAGTAGCCATTTGCGACCGTCAGGGTGGTAGTTGCGGCGATAAAGTATTCCATCACGGATGGCGAAGTGAGAGGCTTGTCGGTGTAGCGCTCGAGATGGCGGGTGGGCGAGTGTTTCAGATAGGTAATCCATCAGAGACGCAATCCACGAATCTTTGCGCTGCTCCGCAGCCATGTTGATGGGTCCTGATAGTGGAAGGAAGTTGTCTTGGATGGAGACACTCGCAATATCAGTAGAAACAGGCGAACGCGAAAGAGCGTCGGCATCGGCGTGCTTCTGGCCTGAGCGATAAATGACGCGGATGTCGTACTCTTGGAGCCGTAAAGCCCATCGTGCCAAGCGTCCTGAGGGATCTTTGAGGGAGGATAACCAGCAGAGCGCGTGGTGGTCGGTAACAACATCGAAAGGGCGGCCGTACAGATAAGGCCGAAATTTTGTAATGGCCCAGATAATCGCTAGGCATTCTTTCTCAGTTACCGAATAATTTGCTTCTGTTCTTGTAAGAGTGCGGCTCGCGTACGCAACAACATATTCTTGGTAACCAGACTTTCGTTGGGCGAGTACAGCGCCAAGACCGACACCGCTAGCATCTGTGTGGATTTCTGTGGGAGCGCTTGAATCGAAATGACGCAGTATGGGTGGTGTTGTAAGCAGTTCACGGAGCTTCGCAAAGGCACTGTCGCAAGCTGGAGACCACGCAGATAAATTGCGGTCTCCCTGAAGTAGGTCTGTCAGAGGCGCCATGATCGAGGCGAAATCTCGGACGAAGCGGCGGAAGTATGAGCAAAGGCCAATGAAACTACGCAGCTGCTTGAGAGACGCGGGCCTCGGGAACTCGCGAACAGCACGTAGCTTAGCGGGGTCAGGAAGAACGCCATCCTTCGACACGACGTGTCCGAGAATGGTCAGCTTGCGCGCTCCAAAGTGACACTTCTTCAAGTTGAGTTGGAGGCCGGCTGCAGAGAGGCAGCGTAGAACCTGTTCCAAGCGACGAAGGTGCGTGGGAAAATCGGGTGAGAATACCACTACATCGTCTAAGTAGCACAAACACGTGTTCCATTTGAGGCCTCGTAGGATAGTGTCCATCATGCGCTCAAATGTTGCCGGCGCATTGCATAGCCCGAATGGCATCACGTTAAATTCGTATAAGCCGTCTGGTGTAACAAATGCAGTTTTTGGCCTATCATCCGGATTCATGGGCACTTGCCAGTACCCAGAGCGTAGATCAAGGGAGGAAAAGAACTCTGCGCCTTGTAAAGAGTCGAGGGCGTCATCAATTCGAGGCAAAGGATAAACATCCTTTCGTGTTATTTTGTTTAGGCGACGATAATCTACGCAAAAGCGTATCTTGCCATCCTTCTTTTTAACTAAAACAACCGGCGACGCCCAAGGACTGTTTGACAGTTGAACGACGCCTCGCTTTAGCATGTCACCTACTTGTTCATCGATGATACGGCGTTCAGTTGGCGAAACACGGTATGGTCGCTGCCGTAGTGGTGGGTGATTACCTGTGTCGATCTGGTGGCATACGGTAGATGTGCGACCTAAAGTAGCGCTGTGACTGTCAAAAGATTGTCGAAACTCGTCAAGGAGGCTCAAAAGCTCACACCTCTGTTGTGGGTTTAGGCCTTCGTCGATGACACGGTTGAAAATGTCGGTAGTGGGAGGGTCATTCACGGAACTACAGGAGAGGGCACTGACTTCCGATGATTCATCAGGAACGTCAAGTGTAGCGATGGTTTCGAATTATTCTATCGAACCAATACATTCGCCTCGAAGTAGCGTAATCGTGAATGGGAACGGATTCTTCACAGGCACGTTGGTCGCACCACCTTGAAGAGTAACGAGAGCGGTTGGGAGCGGTGATAGGTGGCGATGAACGAAAGCAGCGGAAGGCGTAAAGAATGCGGTAGCGTCGACGACGGTGGAACACGACACAGGTGCGAAGACAGTAGCGCGTGGAGGGATTTGGGTGTCGTCACTAATGACCAACTTCGCGTCGGAAGGGCGATCGTGCACTGGTAGCGCATCACCAAGGGGACAAAAGGCGACTTCGTCACGGGCGCAATCAATGATGGCTTGGTGATGGGAGAGAAAATCCCAACCTAAAATGATGTCATGAGAACAGTGCGGGAGTACTACGAACTGGACTGTGTAGGGCACTCCTTGAATTACAAGTCTGGCAGTACACGTGGCCACAGGCTGCACAGGCTGTGCAGTGGCAGTATGAAGACATGAACCCAAGTAAGGCGTTGTCACTTTTCGAATTGAACGGCAAACTTTTTCGGCGATGACAGAAATTGCGGCACCAGTATCAATAAGGGCAAGTACGGGTACACCTTCAAGAACGGCATTAATTACATTCGGCGGCGAACGAAGAGGGCTTGTGCTTTGCGACGAGGACGCAGTTCTTGCCTCGGGAACTGCGTCATTTAGTTTTCCGCGTTGATTGTAGGGGGGCGTCGGCGCATCGGGGAGGGCGAGCGTCGACGTGGAGAAGGAGATCGGCGATCAGGAGCTGGTCGGTGGCTTGGACGAGAAGCGTACAATTCGGGGTCTGGGGTGTATTGAGTGTACGTGTAATCGTTTTCGTATGGACGTAGGTTTTCACGTGAGTGGAGTGGACGGCGGCGGCACAGACGTGCGACGTGCCCAGGTAGACCACACGAAAAGCAGATCGGTCGGTTGTCGGCAGTGCGCCATGGATTAGGGACTCGGCGAAGTGGAGGTCGTGGCGGCAGGGCGGCATAAACAGGAGCAGGCTGTGGAGGCGGCGCTTGGAACGTCTGTGGTCGTGGTCGTGCTGCTGCTTCGGCGTACGTCAATGGTGCATTGACTGGTGGCACCAGCTGTGGAGGAAGGACCTCAGACACTTGATCTCGTATAATAGTCCGTAGAGTAGGGCTAAGCGGTGCACTGCGCTCCGGTAGGCCAGAGATGAGCGAGAGTTGGCGGGCAACTTCTTCGCGCACGAAATCTTTGATCTGCGAGAGGAGGACGGGGTCTTGCGAGGGAGTTAAGCCGGACATCGATTCCTGATGTGGGACAGCACGGCGGGTGACGAGACGTTGCCGGCGGAGCTCATCATAGCTTTGGCAGAGCTCGGTAACTTGGGCGACAGCAGCAGGGCTTTTCGAAATGAGCATCTGGAAAGCGTCCTCGTCAATACCCTTAAAAATATGCTTGATGCGGTCCACCTCTGTCATGTTCACATCGACGCGCTTGCACAAGTCAATGACGTCTTCTATATAACTTGTAAAGTTCTCACCAGGCAGTTGAGATCTCGACTGAAGGCGCTGCTCCGCACGAAGTTTGCGGACAGAAGGACGACCAAAGACTTCGCTGAACTTTGCTTTGAATGCTGTCCAGGTGGGAACGTCGGTCTCATGGTTCCGAAGCCATAAGTGGGCAATGCCACTGAGGTAAATGCCGACAGTGGCCCGCCTCGTGGCTTCGTCCCATTTGTTCAAGACACTCACGAGTTCATAAGTAGCCAGCCAGTCGTCGACGTCGTGGTCGTCAGTGCCGCTGAATATGGGAGGATCCCGCTGACGGACCGCGCCGGAGCACACGATGGCCTGGGAAGCCATAGGAGGAGGGCTTGTGGCAGATGCAGTGGTCATGACAGCAGGTAGAGTCCGGCTTCGCAACTCCAGGATTGCAAGGAGACCCAGCAAACTCCACCAATTATAATATAGAACGGAGACAGTCAAAACTGTTATCCGAGACCAGGTAGGAGCGTAGGCTTAGCTATCAAAATCAGCGACAGTCCGGGCCGAGCGTCTCGTGCTTAGCACTGACAATGTGTGTGCCGAGATTTGCATGACCCACTACAATCATCATTACAGCTCCATTGATGCCTGTGAATCCTGGCAAGAACATATATTTAGACTACGAAAAAGAAGACAAGACTTATCCTATGTGATTTGTATTTTTGTTCATTTTATTTTGCATTTTAGCACGTTAATATAATTTCTTCTTATTTTTCTTATTTTCAGAATGGAAGATTGTATGAAGGGTAATGCACCCATGCTGTATTATTACACAGAAACCTTAGTTTTGCATATTACAAGATATCTGGCCCTGGCATCGAAGTATGGATACACGGTCATTATCATCGACATGCCACATAAGGACGCCTCCGAATCCAAGGTAATTATAGAGGTTGCAAGCTCCATTCATCTACATTCACAAGTTGCAGGAAATTGTCTGAAAGCAACCGTGCAAAAAAAAGGGAGGGGGGGGACGCAGAGTGTTCGCATGTAATTCGGCCTACCTACACTCTGACAACTTAGTGATAAAATGAACTACTACTTCCTCATGCCAGCAGTTCCCACTGGCATCATGAATCCTTTAAGTGCAGTCAGCTATAAGTAAAGCCTGAAGAGGAAAATTGAATTTTCGTGAGAATTCTTACTATGCGGTATTTGAGTAGACTTGTGTCGATACGGAAACAGTAGTAATTTATTATAAGTAGGGGTGCGCGAATATTGGACGTTTCGAGTAAATTTCGAATAGTGCTTGTGCTGAAATTTTTACTATTCGAACTTCCCAGAAACATGCGCAGTCAAAGTCCGACTGAAAAAGACCCCTTCATGTTTTTAAAATGCTTCACCTCACTACTTCTCATATTTTGGCAAAGCTGTCTTTCAAGCTCCACTACGATCGAACTTTTCAAAGTTAGTTGACGTCTAATTAAAAAAGACTCCGTCAGATTTTAAGCATGCTTAACCTCATTACATCTTCATATTCCTCAAAGCTGCCTATCAGGCTCCGCTACGGTCACACTTCCCTGACACGTACAATCCGCCTTTTTCACAAAAGAATGGCGCATGCGGAAAAGTCACAAAACCCCTTTTCACTTTGGAGGCTTTGCTTCTGGCAGTACCGGTTCTCCCAGCCCTTACTACAGCCCTATCTATAATACGGGCTTATGCTGTCCTATAGAGGGCAGCACATGAAAATAAAAGGAGGTGGATTGTCTGATAATTATTGGCTGCTTCAATTTTTTTAATGCTTGACCTTACTACATTCTCGGATGCTGTCTTCCAGGCTTCATTACGGGTGCAAATGTTTGGCTCAAAAAAGCGCTGATTCCAACATAAAGATTCTAACAAAACTTTGAATGTTCCTGTGTTGACGTCCACGAGGCACATTTTGAACTCCTAGCTTAATGATAGCACAGCCTTGTCTGCCACATAGTTGGGCTTCCACACAAGTTGAAAGAAGGGAAGAGGCTGAGAAAATGGCATCTTTGCTTTACCCATGTAGAGTATTGCTGGCAACACTTTGATTGCATCAAATCATGTACTAATACAATTTGGCCTCCCCATTGCCTCATTTTTGATAAGACAACTATGAAATACCATCCCACCAGTGCTCCATTAGGCTGGTGAATATAAATACTCGTATTACTACATCTCAGAAGAGTAGCCTTAGGAACCTCTTCAACTTTCCCCCCCCACAATTTTACTTCAAACTATTCAAAAGATATTCTAGAAATATATATTTTTATTTTTAGAAATAAAAATAGAAATGTTTTTAGAAATAGAAATACATTCTATATGCACTCACACTTCAATATTCAAACTCACTTTGCACCCAAATTTTTTCTATTCACACAGCTCTAGTTATAAGTACACACTTGTCATTACTTCACATTTGCCGATACGGTGGCCTAGTAATTACGGTACCTGGTTGCTGACCCAAAAGATGGGAGCCAAATGCCAGTTATGGTACGCATGTTTTTATGGAAACTATATGCTAGAAGGCCATGTGCTATATGTGATGACGATTTACGTTAAAGAACTTCAGGTAGTCAAAATTATTCAAAGCATTGTGATGTGTCTTGTAGACTGTGATGCTTTGGGATGTTTAACCCCACCTAAACCAAACTTCCTCATATAATGGTGAGAAATTTTTAGATTTACTTTATTTCAAAGTTAGACCACAGTGTAGTTACGCTACGATCGAATTTAGACTCTGAAGTTCGTCATTTTGCAGCGAGTTCGCTTATTGACAGGAGAACTAGTGTTAGCTTTCTTCTATGTCCATTACAAAAGCTTTTCACTATTTAAACATTGCATAGCCAGTAATCCAAAAGACTGGTTGCATTTTAAAATGCTAATGTCATTGTGTGGAACCAGAAGCAAACTTGCAAAGTCTACTGTAACAGTACTGGATCAATGCAGTGAGAAGTAAAAGGTGGCAGCCTTCGGTAAAGTGCACAGTATCTACAATAGCAGCCTGCATCATCAGATAGCAGTAGTCATGAAGTACTTATAAAATGCTTGCCAAACGCATCTGATGTTCCTTACCCATTATGAGAAAAAAGGGACTGCGTTACTAAGCCAGCACTTACACATGTGTGCATGTTTTATCAGTTTGCTTGTTCCAATCTGGATTTTATTATGATAGCAATTATATGGACACTCTTTGCTGGATGTCGCCACCAAAGTAAGCGTCGATGTCATGCATTCTATATGTATATGTATCTGATTATATGAATATGCACGAAAGAAAAAAAGTCCCAGAAAAAAAGACTCCGGATCGTGGAATTGAACGTGGCACTTCTGCGCCGCGATTGCGAGGCGTTAACCACTGAGCCACTGAGAGTTACCTCCTTCAACGTTCAAACAGCAAGCTATTCATATCTACCACTTACCGCTGTTGGCGGGTATATCGGAGGGAACTATCGTGTTTTCAGCATTATCAGCAAGATGGAGCAGTGAGCGCGCGGCAGCTCTCATCTCTCGCGCGTATACTTTGGCCCGCGTAGAGAATAAGGGGGTGGTAGCTCGATCGTGCGCCCTAATCTTGCAGCGGGGAGAATAGGAAGTCTTGGATAGCCTTTGAGTTCCGTCAGAACGATTTTGTTGTAGTTACCAGGCGCACAAAGCTCACTGCAATCGTTGCACAGCCTCCGTTTGCGAAAAGGGCGCACTTTTTAGACACAGCGAAGTAACAACCGAGACACTTATTCGCGTTCATCTGTACCTGTGAGAATGCTTTGTGTGTTCTTTGTGCATGAGAAACGCGGGGAACGTTTCAATATGCTTGCCATTCTGCGTGTGACCTTTTAATTTTTTGCTATCGCATTCATTGCTTTGTGTTTGCGGCAAAGCTATGACTTTTTTTTATTTATGCCGACTGTTCAGGCTCCGTACAAAGCCATGGGCGAGTCAAACGAGAAGATTCAGTGGGAGGAGGTGCATCCCTTCGCCACAGGATGGTCTCCAAGGCCCAAAGATGCAGCACAGCTCCTGCAGCGTTTCCGGCAGATAAGAAACATCCTGAAGAATGAGGACTGTGAGTGTATTTCTACGACTGGTAGACAGTGCTTGATGGGTGTGATGAAACAGCACATCAGAGGTCCAGCATACCTCCCTCTTTCTATAAAAGAGGAGGCACCTCCTCTGATTGCAAGGGGGTACCAAGGTTGACTACGCTGCCTCGACTGTGCATTTTTTGGCAGGGTTGCATGCGTCAGCAGTCCCAAGAGCAAGCATGGCGGCATTTTAGGAGTCTTTATTGTAAAGATGCAAAATGAAAACACATGGCATATATGCAGATTTGACATACCTGCCAACTCTCTAACTTTGCAAAGTAGCACTATTTCTGGAACATTGGCAGTGTTTCGTTAGACTCCGTGAAAAGTAAGTTCGGTAAAAAATTTGCTGATTGGTTTAAACACATATCTCTTCAAGTCCTACATAGTGAGATTATTAAGGCAAAAGCATGAAGTGCTGCGTGAGAAGCGGTATAATGTGACAGTTCAGACGCAGCAGCAACACATGTGAGGCAAAAAAATATAAATGTCATCATCAGCCACAGCATCAACAAAGACACTGGAATTGAAAAAGCACTGTGCAGTACAAAAACTAACCTGACGTCTCTCGCTCCCATAATGATGATGGTGGTGGTAGATTAAAGTATAAAAAGGCATATAGAGTCATTTTGATATAATATAAACAGACTTCTTATTTAGAAAACACTGATAAAAACTTGTAAGGTTTCATAATGTCTGTCTAGAGGACATAAATAAAAGCTGATAAAGTTTGAAAGGAAGAGGTTAATCGCAAAGTGAAGTCATTGCCTAAAGGCTTTTCTAGTCTCATCTTAGCAATCGATAACTGTTCCCAAGGAGTATTTTCCTAAATCGGTTTGTGAAGCTCAAAAAATTGCCATTAGTAAGGCCGCTAAGGATGGTGACCATCTAAAGAAGCCTTGTTTATAACCTTGCGCTGCTGCAAGCTTATTGGCGGCTGTTTGCTTGCTTTACTTAAAAGTGAATCATCATTAATAGTGGTTGTGTGTGTGTGTCATCATATGTGCATAGCCAAGACGTTCCTTTAAGAACTGTACATTTTCTTTTTCTGTTAGGGCATGTTGCTTGATTAAAAAGTTGCCTTTTATGATGCAGGATTAAAACTGGTTTGCTAAGTTGGTAATATCTGCATGTTGAACCCCAAACTGGTAATATTTTTTTTCATCTGTGATGTTTTTTTTAAACAACTTTTTACGCTACTTTTGGGTGAATGGCTTTCAGTTGCATGAACTACAACTCATATTCCTATCATATGAACTAGGTAGAAGTTTTAAATGTCCCTAGAACATACAAGAAACTACGAAGTCAGTCGTATGCCATGCAAGCAAGTCAGCCGACATCGTCCATGAACAGCATATATAAGGACGCTAGCAGTGCTGGTTTACTTTACGATTAGTGCAGCAATACCGTATAGTCATGGCCAGCATGTAGCTGTTACCATGCATTTAGGGCTACTTGTGCAGGAAAAACGTTAGTGCATTGTTGTACAGCAACCCATACTGGTAATACCGTAGCACGAATGGTATGTGGTATTTTGGGAACTACTGGAACCCCTTAGTACTGGTGACTGCATTCAACATGTGGCGAGGCCCCGCCGTGGTGGTCTAGTGGCTAAGGTACTTGGCTGCTGACCCGCAGGTCGCGGGATCGAATCTGCGCTGCAGCGGCTGCATTTCTGATGGAGGCGGAAATGTTGTAGGCCCGTCTGCTCAGATTTAGGTGCACGTTAAGAACCCCAGGTGGTCGAAATTTCTGGAGCCCTCCACTACGGCGTTTCTCATAATCATATGGTGGTTTTGGGACGTTAAACCCCACATACTACTACTCAACATGTGGCGAAATGTATGGGTCACATGTATCCTAACAGTTTTCATCGTTATACTTCTAGCTAGACATAAAAGCTTATGCACATTGGTGCTGTCGCAGTCACTTTGTATGCTTTTTATACTACCATCATCCTCGTTTTCCTGTTTGCTTTAACGGCACAGAATTGTTGACAACACGTTTGAAGATCAGTGTAGGCCGGTTTATTGCAAAGTTTGATGCAGCGCTCCCTTTTTCTGGTGTACTTTTTGTGCAACTGCCAAACGTCTGGCTGCTACCATAATATTGTGTATGAGAAGTCATAGAGGGCCTTTTGTTTTCTGTCATATCTTTATTGGGGTGTTTTTACTGGCTTATAGTTCTACTTGTACATTATTTAATGAGGTGAAACCATGTTTCCTTTTCTCTTTAGCCACTTTGGCTCCCAGAGATGTAGCCAGTAGCCACGTTTATCCCTTCTGTTTGGCAAGGGTGTGCCTGTTTGGTTCTAGTGTGGCAGACAAGGATTACTGCCTCAGTGAAAAGGTATGTAACTATAGGTAATGAAGCAAATTCTTAGGGTCGGAATATTTCTTTCAACTGCCTTTCCTTTTGCTCCCACTTCAATTTGTTAAGCTTGTCACCTTTGCATTCTGTGAAGGTTTTGCCACACAGTAATGGTCTGCTGAAAGCTGCAGGCAAAACACAACCACATGACTTTTACCTCGTCATAATTTGAGCATCAGAGATCAACCGCAGCAATACTGCACAATGGCACACAGTCACAATCGAGTGCTTTGTTGCAAGTCAGCTGCTGCAAAGGCGTGACTTCTTAGATTACCATGAAGAAATTTGATCACGCCCTATGCTGCTAAGTTTACTTTAACAGTGCATTGCATTCAAAATGCTGCTGTATAAAATTCAAGCATGCAGTACACTAGAAACGTATGTTGACGTGTTTTTAGTGGACCTTAGGATAATGAGTACCAAACTAACAGTGCCACAGGCATTCAATAATGAAAGCTATGCTATGCAAAGTCTTATTTGAGCTTCAATACTATACCTACAAACTATTGCATCAGATGTTTAATAACAATTTTTTTTCAAGCACATGACATATTTTTGGTTTCTGCAGTTAAGTACATATTAACAATTAGTGTAACCATACAAAATATAAGAAGTCAGTGGACGATATCTCTGAACATAGATGTAGTGTCCCTTTGCTTTTTTTTTACCTTTTTCAGATTTTTAATTGTTCAATGGCAGTTTTAAGCAGCGACACCTGGTAATAAAGATATACGTACAAATCAATGGGAAAACTTCTAAAGCATATCATTGAGGAGTAAGTGAGCACAGTACCCTATGCTGTTGCCTATCTACATGGATACTGAAATTTTCTCGGCGACTTCAACATTTAGTTGAACACTCAAATGTTGTATACTTTGCAGCACACCACTTCATAAAATATCGATGTAGTATATGGTTCTCCAATGATCAATATACCAGTTAGTACTACGTTTCAATTACTCTTTCTGTAACATCAGCTGTCCTTGAGACATTGCGTATGAGGTTAGTCACCGCTTTAGTTTCTTCACACTTCACGCACGACTTTGTATCATTTCAATCTGTAGTCGCTCATCAACCTCATGGCTAGATTAACATATCAACTTCTTTAAAAACATTACTCTTTTTGCTTGCCTCCCAATTGTTTCTCTCCTGTGGCATATACATAACAGATATTGGAAATGGCACACGGTGCAGACAGCAAGACAAAGACAACGAGTGGTAGTGGAGCGAAGGCTTGATGTGTTTGGACTGTCCTATGTACACCTTGTTTGAACGGTACTGCACTGAGCACCAATAAAGGCGGCAGAAGGATTTGCCACAACATACATTCCATAACTGCAGTAGTTGACCATACCATAGGGTAAAGCTTAACTGCTCTCTGTAAGAACTTTACATGAATTCTTTATTCTAATAGCTTGGAGAGTGTCTACAAGTAGCCTTAAGATTCGCCTGCATACAGCAGACCTCAAATGTTTGTCTAAATAGTTTTCGTGCGCCGAACTTCTCATGCGAACTGCAAATGCTGCATTTTTGATGCACATTTGCAGGTGATGCAGGCCTATGGGCGAAGGGATACCCTTCGCGTGTTTGGCTACGCTGTAACTCAAGGCTTCGTGTTTGCCATGGTAAAGCTGACTGATGATCAGGCATCGCTCACTGGCCGCCTTGACAGTGTGGACGAAAATAATGATGTAGGTGAAGTGACGCGCCAGTTGTCCCTAAGCCTCGGCTTCCAAACGTGGGATGAAGTCGGCTGCATCGTTGACATGGCCAAGTTTACAGAAGGGTGTGATGACGGGAACAATTTGCACTTTGTTGGAAAAAGGATCGGACTCGAAGGTAAGATATCAGCCCAGCTGTGTAACTATGCTTCGACGAGTCGGAAAGTGGGCATGTTAAGAATTGCAGGAAACCTGAATATGTGTAGAGAGCATGAAATATCCAAAATCGCTAGAAGATTTACTGTGCATGCTAAGTCCCAGTGACAACAGGGTCTACAAGGTAATGTGAACCATACCTCACCCTGTCTATAAATATTTCTTTAAAAGTACAGGTGAGGTTAATTAAAAAGCTGAGTGGCTACAGTAATAAATACACTTAACTTCTGCAATGCTGCAAAAAGACAGTACAATGTACATGTAAATTAAATACACATTGCTTATTGTATGACATTACAATGTACATTGGGTATTATAGCCTGTGAACTCATTCTCAAACCTTTGCTCCTTTGCTGATATGTGCAATTTCCCGCAGTTAGTGCCTGCATAAGTCTTTTTTGTCTGTGTGTGTGTGTGTCTTTCAAGATCTGCAACCGTCGAGGATCACCTTTATGCCGCTTGGCTCGATCGATGGAACTGAATACAGCTACAGCAAAGCTGTTTCCGCTCCTTGGCTACTGCTGTGCTCGAAACTGCGTTCTTGGAGAGCAGCTGAGATCAACTGCGGGAGAACTATCAATGAAATCGAAGTTTATGGGTCAGCAGTGTCAACTGACAATGAATGCCTCCTGCTTGTTGATCATGCGACCACAGAGCTGGATGTCGTCTTCACAGGCTACTACCAACCCTATAGAACATCGTAAGAGATGACATTATGTCTTTAATGCTTATTACTATCATCATTGATGTATTCAACATCCACCGCCAGTGTGGTACGTGCACCCTGAGAACTCTGCCTTTTATTGCTCACGAGTCATGGAAGGATTGTTATGGCTTGAAAGAATGCCGACTAGTATTTGAAGGAGTATTTCAAGTGGCCACAGTGTAGTAAAATGGAGTGCAGTCATCACATGGTACACTCCCAATAGGTGCAGAAAACCTGAATTTGTAAATTACAACTGCGGAATGATCTAGATTGGTATATTTGTTGGTAGCATTTGTGTCATCAATTTTTTTGCTTTTAACTCCTTGCACAGAGTTTTGCTGATGGCCAAGGATTCATACATATAAATAATGATCACTTTTTAGAAGCTATAACTATACAATAACGCTATTGTTGTATATAATAGCTAAGTAATTTCACTCGTATATTTATATGACAAACACTGAATGAAAATATGAAAATGTGACAAAAGCTTAGTCGTTGCATTCAGAGCAGCTTGTGTTAATACAAGTGCCTGGAATTCTAATATATTTCAAGGATTAAAATCTGTTACAATGGTTAGGCGAGCCACCAGTGGAAAATCTTAGTGCCACATCAAATGATCATATTTTCACTAAATAGATATTTGTAGAAATAAAAACAGAAAGGTTTTATGCAAACATGTTATCTAGAAAACATTAATTGAAGTTCTAAAGTATTTGAACACTCTTTGTGAAATACTTCTTACTGGGTCGTGTATATACTAGTGCTACTGCACGAGCTTTTTTTTTTTTTTTCAAGCCCACTTTTTTAGAACATCTCTTTGCTTTATCTGCAGTTGAGAAAGTTGATGGCAGTTGCCTTCTGACAGAAGAGGCCCCTGCACTTGATTGACAGTTAGCTGTAACTACTGAGGAGAGTGCAGTCTTTTCAGTTGAAGGATTGGCACTGCGCTATAATTTAGTGGAGGGGAAGCCAATTTTTGGGTGGAATGCAGGAGAAAGTGGAATCTTCTTGTTCAAGATGCTTGGCATAGCCAAGCAGTTTAGTTGGCAGGCTAAACTTGTGCCGACATTTGCTCTGTGTTATACGTCATTGCTGACTCCTTTCAAAGCAAATGCTATGCAATAAATCAAACATGAATAGAAGGCCAAACATTGGCGACTCGTCTAGGCACAATCAGGTGCTTAACTGTGTTTGTTTCATCTGCATTAAGATGGCTTCAAATAATTCGCCTTGGGTACATGTGCTAAACTAGGTGCTCGACAGTGATGGCCAGGCAAACTTCTGTGTTGTTTATTAAGCATGAATCTCTTTCTCGCATCAAAAAAATGTACTTACCTTCAGATTAAAGCCTCACTCAAAATGTTTTTTTTTCTTTTTTTTACATCTAGGCGCAGCAACCACAGCCGATCACATGCGCAAAACACTGGCTCCAAAAGACTGCCTTTCAATCATGACGGTCACTACAAAGCTTTCAGTCAGTTTCACTGAGTGCTGCTTTGACTCTAGCAAGTCTGCAGGCACCAAAGACGTGCAGCGAAGTCGGGTGGAAAGTACTCCACCTTACATTGACTCACTATTGCCATGCGAACAATCACTGTAAATCCTCGATGCTATTAGAGTCAAGTCTATATTAATCGCGGTCTGTTTTGACGGAGTCTATACCACTGAAGATGTGCAGGAGAAATAGGTAACGACTGTAAAAAAGACTAAGACATATAGAAAATTACTTTGTGATGCAGCTGCTACTTGATCTTGTTTCATGGTGCTGGCACCAATAAAGAAAACTCGCTTGTGACTGGTATAATCTTTTTCACTGCTTTGCAGTCAACATTCTGTATAATACTGTTGAAATTAACATTTATAAAGTCAATATTCACTATGTGAACATGTCAATTGCTAGCATACCCCTTGAAATTCCATGCAAAGGCATCATGCTGTTCTCACCATATATGCAACTCCCCATTCAACATATCAGACACTGCGCCATGCTGTGCACTTGGAGATACACGTCCCAAATGGCACATCACTCGGACCAACGGAAATAGTCATGCCAACTAGTTGGTGCGATTTTGGAAGGCCTTGTTGGGCACAACACTGAAAATGAAGGGCAGTGCAAGCACAGTAGGGAAAAGAGCAATGTGCCTGTCCCAGGATGTGAATGGTTCATGCATCAATAATTTCAGTTTAATTCCATGATGATGGATCTGCTGTGGCTTAGCATGACCAGATTGCATGATGAGGTGAAAACTGCCCGTTGCATAGATAAACATTACGCCTGCACAGTGAACCTAAGTCCCTGCTGCTATTTGTCATTGGAAGAGAAACTTCCACATGCTTTTGCCGATTCAGATGGGCATCTGCTTCATTTCGATTTATTGATATATGTGAAGTCATTATGTTCCCCCTTTGAATTCAACATATCTGGGTTTAACTTGTGTGGCAGTACAGTTCGCACTTTGTATCCCCTTGTTTTGTTAATCCATTGCTCTTTAACGGCCCTACATTTTTGTTTTATGCAATGGAGAAATAGCAATAGTTAAAAACAGAGAAAGTAACAGCACTTGATATTGATTACAAGCGGCCCATGTAGAGTGCATTATAATAATGGAGAGAGTGAAGCCCTAAAAAAAACTGCCCATAAAGTTCACATTTGAAAATTCTCACTTGAACACCTGTACAGTATCATAACTCAACAGCACACACACATTCACAAAAACAATAAATAATGTGACATGCCTTATATCAGAGGCTGGAATAGAGAAGCAAGGAGAACACAGGGAAGTACCCAGCTTATGGGCACCTGCAGGAAGAAAAGGAGGAGGGAGTTAACAGGCAGTAAAAGAACCAAGATAAGCACTGGTATTTTTGTTAATCTATAAATTAATATTTTAGCATTTTCTTTTCCAAAGTTGTACTGTCACACGACTCATGGTGAATCCCTTATGGTGGGTCAAGCCATATGTCTAGGACACAAATAGCTTATTTGGTGAAGTGTCCTATTTGGTGGAGTCGTTCTGCATAGCTCCCTATAGAGCTGGGTGTGATAAGCAGCTGAGGGTTCGATAGAAGAGAGAGAGAGATAAGAGCATGCCAAGACCCTGCCCCTTGCCTGAAAAAGTAAAAGTTCTACACCTATGTGAAAATCGCACCCTTATTGGAGGCTGAAGCTCTTAGCCACCACTGCTTTGCTTCAGCACTGGAAGCCTTTGTTCCAAACAAAGGGTTCCAGTGAACAATGGGTTCACTAAAAACTCACCAAATCGAAGTCCACAAACCAGACCACAGGACATTTTGACAAGAAAACACATCACTTGGGTCATAAAACAAGCTCACTGTCCAAAAAATGACCGCAATACGCAATATACAAGCCCTAGATGCACTTCGTTGCCAGGTGTGCAGTTTGACATTTATGCAGACATAGCTCACACCTTCAGGAAACGTCTCGCAGCCTATGCGCCTCAATACCGCTGACTGTATCTTAATTATAGTGAACTATAACCTTAATATAATAACGCAAGAGGTCTCTATTGCCAGCTTTGGCAAAACGATCTTGTAGTCGGATCTCCTTCACTATGTACTAACGGTCAAGGGCATAGGTGTGGGCAGTGAGAGGGGGCAGAGGGGAGCATCTTGTAGGATAGCTGAGAAGCTTTACTTCATCGCAACGAATGCCATAAAATATGTTCCTTTGATTCTCACTGTTTCTGCCCCGCATACTCTTTTGGTCACCTGTTGAAAATAAAGTGAGGCATGGCCTTCTCTCCTCAAATGACAAGTAGTAGTAGTAGTAGTAGTAGTAGTAGTAGTAGTAGTAGTAGTAGTAGTAGTAGTAATACAAAACTTTATTATATGCATAAACCAGACAGGCTATAACTCGAGTGTCCTGAGGAATATACAGGGTGAAGGGCATAGTAGTTTGTCCAAAGAGAACGTGCCCCTATTCCAGGGCTCCACTGGCACGAGCCATCCGTTCAGCTCTGTGGATCAGTAGCAGCTGATCCACCAGAGCAGGGCTATGCAGCAGCGTCTCTCATTCGTCGCATGTGCCATTGGTGTCGTGTTCTTCATCGTGCTCTGCACACTTTTCACCCGACACCACGGGCATGCTCACTTTTCACCCAATCTACCCCATGTCGTGGGGAAGATAGGATGGAAAGTGTGCATATTTATGTAAGTGTTTGTAATCTTAGCACTGTCGCTTCCGCAGCACTGAGCTTTCTATGTGGACATGGATAGAGCTGCCTATTTTCCCTGTAGTACTTAACAATCATTGCAAAATGAGGGTCCAGGTGTGTAGGTTCCTCTGTTGCAGAGTCTGGAGTGGCTTGGTTATTTGTAAATTATCAAGCCGCCTCATTCACATGCAGGTTCTCTGTCATGCCCTCATGCCCCGGTGCCCAAGTCACAGTCTGTTTGTATTTTACTGTGGGGTCCTATCCTGTTCCAACCAATATCCCGAGCGCCTGTGCTCCGATTTTGCCCCTCAGATAGTTTCGGCAAGCTTTTTGCAAATCTGTAATAATTGTTAATGGAGCGTATCGCGTCCTCCATCCTCTTTTATTGTGAGTGCTATGGCGACCTGTTCTGCTTGTGTTGTCGAAGCCCGATCTTTGAAGTGCAGGCTGTCATTTTCCCTTATCGGTCTGCGACTACACACGCAGCTTTCTTCGCATCAGTCTAATAAGGCACGGCGTCATTGAATCAGGCCATGTTTATATGTCTTGTCATTTTGTCAATGTGGTCAGCCCTTACCTTTCTTCTTCCATCATGCAGAGCAGGATCCATGTTGCTTGGTATTGGCAATACAGTGTACCATTCTCTAAGTTCGCTTTAGTTTCTTAGTGTTTTTGTATCAATGTATCGGCACCTAATTTTGTTAGGACTGCTCCGCCAGTTGGGGTCTGGAGAAGGCGATTTTCTTGCGCTAGTATCTGGGCCTCGTATAATTCTTCAATTGTGTTATGAAGACCTAGCGCCAGTAGCTTGTCATTTGAAGTATTCCGCGGTAATCTGTCTTGTAGGACATTCTTTTTATTTGGTTTGCTTTTTCTTTCTCTTGTCAGTTCATAATATGATATGGAAGCAAGTATGTAACACGACTGATGACGAGGCTTTTGACCAGTCTTAGGGCATCTTTTGTTCTCTCATGCCTTTACGATTGTTGGCTATACGCGAGGTCATGCGTGAGACCTGCTCTGCCAATGTTTTGGGATGATCTAGTGTGTGCAGACATCTATAATCAGCTTGTAGCCACACACGTAGTATTCGTAAGGTAAGGAATAATAGTTCCTTCGAGCCTGACTTCCAACTTTAGACTCGGGTCGATCCTCCTTACTTTTTTTGTCGTAAAGCGAATGAGCTCGGACTTTTATGCTGAGCATTGAATACCCCGTATCTTTGCGCACTCTTCTATGGTGCTAGCTGCCTGTTGTAACCTATCTTGTTTCTTCGCTAGGCTGCCTGTGGTTGCCCATACCGTGATGTCTGCATATATCGCATGTTGTAGACGAGCAATATCATTGAATTTTCCTGCAAGACCTGTCATGGCTACGTTGAAAAGTGTCAGTGAAATGACCTTTCCTTGAGGTGTTCCAATTTGTTTGGAGGTCAAATAATGTCAGATTCGTAATCTTCATGCTTGATTATTGCAATCCTGTGACTAAGGAAACTTTTGACATATTCGAATATTCGTTCTCCACTGTTAGCTTTCTCGAGACCTTCAAGCATTGCTTTGTGACTGATGTTATCAAAGGCTCCCTTTATGTCAACTGCCATAACGATATTTTCCCTAATCTTACAAATGTCCAATAATACTTGTTCTTTTAAGAGTAGTTGAACATCTTGCGTTGAAAGGTGTGAGCGAAAGCCATACATGGTGTCGGACATGAGGTTGTTGTACACGAGGTGATTGAGGAACCTGGTGTTGACCAGTTTTTCAAAGATTTTTCCTATGCAAGACGTGAGGGAGATGGGTCTCATGTTCTCAATGGCAAGTTTTTTGCCTGGTTTAGGCACATGACAGCAATCGCATGTTTCCATTTTTGTGGAACAGTTCTAGCGAGCCAATGTTTGTTTATGTATTTAATAAGAGCTTCAATGGCTTCGCCATTCCTGATCATACCATTGGTGATTTTATCCGCACCAACCACTGTATTCTTCTGGTACTAAATATGGCTGCTCTGATCTTGGCGTCCGTAAAAGGCTTGTCTAAATCAGATTGTGGTGGTCCTTTCTACCTTACTTGGTATGAAGGTGTCGTTCCGTTCGTTCCGAAGCTTTTTTTAAAGCATGGCTTGAATGAGTTCCTCTTTTGTACCAGGGTATGAAAATAGGATATATAGACGGTTTCGCAAGAGCCTACCGGTCTCTGGCAACATTGTGCGTTCACCAGAAAACCACCTCAGGAAATATCCGGTTTCAGCCTGTTCTTGCGTGGTTTCAGCCTTTGTTGTTGGCCGCGGTTGCTTGTGTTTCGATATCTTATGCAGATAAAAGTATTCCGATGAAGCGCTTCGCAACTCGAGCACAGCTTTGTCAAGCCAGGATGCAGTCTGCAAGCCTGAACTAATTTTATATGCTAGTCAAAACGTTCCGTTTTGATCACGAGAGCAGACTAGATTCCCGTTAAGAGCACGTAGGCTTGTTCTTCCCACTTCATTAAAGGCAATGTAAAGCTCAGCGCACACTGATGGCACAGAGACGATACTCAGATATTAGATTAGTCGAAGGTTCCGGTTACCGGGAACACATCAGTCGCTGTCGTCTCCCACTCATGGCAGATACGTGTACTGACGCCTGAAATAGGGTAACAAAACGTGAGAGCGAACACTGAAAATTTATCGCAAAGGTGTTTCTCGTATAGTTTGAACGATAATAATGATGCCTACTGTTTGAAACGACATAGGACACAAATTAGCTATGCTCTACATGAATCGCCGTACTGTGTACGTCGTGGTGTCCACGTTTCGTTGTCGTTGGATTTGAATTTTTTTTAAAGGGACGCTGGCGAGTGGGCACTTATCTGTGCGAGCAAATGACTCATCGCCTGTCTTTCAGCCGCTAATTAATATCGCTGCATTCTAGCTCATTTATGTTTTGGTGTGAACATGGCTTAGGTGGGTTCAACTTGAAAGTTTGATTCATGAATAGCTTACTCGTGAGTAAACCATAATAGTTCGCGTGACCAATTGCTTCAGTTGATGTCATCACATAACCAGTACAGTTATATATTTTATCGGTCACGCGAACACTTCGGATCGCGAGCAAATCCGAACGCCAATGATCTCTCTAAAGAACCCGGCGTTACACAGGCACAAAGATAAGCGTTTTATCTTGAGGTTGTGTGCCTAGACGAAAACACAAAGATGTTCGGGGTTTGACAGGAGGAAGGTTTTCAGTTCTAGTCGAAAAGCTGAATTGAACAACTTCACTACGAATCGGGCAACTCTTCTCCTGCATATATGTGGGTGCGCTTTGAAGACGTGGAAAGAGAAAACACAAGTGTGCGCTGTCAATTTCTCTGTCCGCGTCTTCAAAGCGCATCCACATCGACATGCAGAACCAACTGGCCCAATTGAGTTCGTTGACAAGCTTCTCCTGCAGGCGCGGCCACTATCAGAGGCAACACGGAGCAGGGGGCCGCGCTTATCGGAACGCCACGAAGGATATTTTGCGCGGCGCCAATCGGCCACGTGAGCAGTGAGCCCCTTCATGTAGCCGCTAGACGTTGCCGCAAACACATCCTAAGGAATGCACCAGAAATAACAGAGCAGCAAATCGAAACACACCACGAAAACTCCACCAGAACCTTTGAAAAAGCATTGCCGGAAGTGTCGCACCGGAAGTCTGCTTAGATAGGCCGTACCAACGTTACTAGAATGGCTTCAGTTGTAAAACTCGGCGGAGCTGCGCGGAACCGCCGCTTGTCCGTGCGCCTCGCGGCGCTGCAGTCGCATCGAGCTTCACCTCTCCCCTGCCGCCGGCCACGTCGACGGGCGGCAGGGGAGAGTTAATGTCTTTTCAGGTCACTGAGTTAAGGTCTTTTGTGCCTGGCGCTCTTAAGCATCGATCTGCAGCTTTAGCGTGCATGTTGTCAGGCATCGAGTGCGTCATAGAGCGGCACACTAAGTCAAACCAGGTTTTTGGCGACCTGTTCTGGAGAATTGTAGAAGAGTTGTCAGAAAATACGCTTAGTCGCGTTGGGTGCCCCTTGCACTTTCAGGAGCTCAGTGCACGAGTTAATAAATTTTACCTTGCAACACCCATGCACTTCTGCTCCAGATTTCTGGAGCAGCATCGAAGTTCCAGTGCTCAAGTAAAGGCAGCGAGAAAGCGGGCAAAGCTGCTGTAGGCTTCAACCCTGGGCAACCCTGGGGGCACTTTTCTTTGCCAGAAATGATGTTGTACATAGCTTGTGTGAAGGAGATTTCATTGTTTGTCTGTTTTTGCTTAGGTGTTAAAGCTATGTCCACATTATATATATATATATATATATATATATATATATATATATATATGTGTGTAAAATTCTGGGATTGTAACCTGTAGTATTTGTCAGTTGTGCATTGCTTCCTCTCTCTCTCTCTCCTCTTTGTTTTTATTTATTTTTTTCTCTTGTCAGTAATTGTTCCTGCTCCGCTGCAGCCTGCCATCTATTTTAGGGCCAGTAAAGTGGCGTACCCACAACCTTTTCCCCTAAATATCTCCCATAAAATAGCGCTTGTTTTTATTTTTTGAAGTAAAGTCATTTCATTTCAAAACGTGAGTTGTTGATTCTAAACGGTAGGGCTGTTCGTTTTCTGAATCGTAAAGCTAGTTGACAATTGACCCAAATAAGATTAAATGAAAGGTGTTTTCACTAGCTAGTTGACAACTGACCCCAATCACATTAAGTCGCATTGTAACATACATAGAACAAAAAACTCGTGAACCTTTCCATTCACGTAAAGGTGGATGACCACGAAAGCTTTTTAACACACGACATGGGATTGATACGGAGTATAGGAGAAAGGTAAGAACAATATTTCGTCGTGATCGTGGATGGCGATAATTTCTAATATAGAAATGCGTGTGCGCACGCGCACACACTTTTATTTTAACAACTTTGAAAATAGTGGTAACTAACTCTAATCACCTCAAAGTGCACATCCAAGGGTCAGAAGGTTTAAAATCTAAGTCACAATGTAATATTGACGGTGGTGCATATCCTGTTGATTAGCCGTATACGCTCGGGTTCTAAATCCCGCTTTTATCGGCGTGCGGCTTTAGTGGTGACCGCGTGTTATTAGCAAATACATCGGACATTTCTTTTCCAACGCATCACGCGCTTCAGAGACAGTGGGAGCCCTCGTCCCCGGACAGTAAAGTACAGGGAACCGTATCCATATAATCTCCGCTTTAAAAATCGGGACGGAGATATTTTTCCATTACTTCTCAGGAGTGAATTAGCCACCATTGGATAGTGGCGGAAACAGGCGAACGGCCACACATCTTTCACAGGCACGCGATACCAGCCTGTAAAGAATGAAGTGTGAATTGGCCAGAGTGTAAACACTTTTCGGGCGCCTCTGGCACTTTCACAAACTTTATGCGGGCATCATCGAATTGCCTTTAAAAGTACCCGTGTATCTAACCGCTACATTCCTGAAACAGCGGCGGAGACCCAGTTTTGAAGTGAAATACGCAAGGAAATATGCCAAGCCGCTGTGGGTAAATACCGGTTTCGCCTGGTATCACAAATTCTTTAACGCAGAACGCCAGAAGACGTGAAAATGCGCGTGAAACAGCCACAAACACTCCGTCCGCGAGAGATTTAGGCCGCAGCCGGCTGCGGCGGAGCGTCTGCTGCGGAGCAAGATGGAGCGGTGCCGCCATCTGGCGGCGGACAGAGGAGTGGATACACCGGCAGCAGGGGCGCCGGCGGAGAGTTTTACAACTGAAGCTATTCTAGTAACGTTGGGCTACAGTGAACTAGAATACTTTCTAGTTCACTGAAGTTGGGCCGTACGGCACGAGCCAGTTTGTTTACAAACACCGCAACCGTCTATTGAAGGATTTTTTGGTCGTGAATGAAAATGCGCCTCTTGAAGTCAACGTCAGCACATCCCCGTGAAACGGTCCAAAAATGCATTGTAATCGTACAAGCTCTCATGTATGAATGCGCAATAAACTATATACTACTGTGAAGGCTACGTGTGCCCGGCTCACCTTTCCTTCCTCCGTGGCCCGGCTTGTCCGACGCACGTAAACCTAAACCGACCATTTTTTTTTTCATTCATTCAAAATCACATGCGATGGCAGCGCTAAGTAATTCATAGCGACTAATTTTTGCAGCAAACCACATTTTCGCCTGGCAACGTTGGGTTTCGTGCTGGGTGGTTTCGTTTCTCTAAACACAGAAACACCGGGGTCACGGCGTACCATCGGCAGCATCGGTAGTGACATTTCTTTTGCTGTCCTTCGATAAGTAGAACGTTCACTTTCGTGCGTAGGGTCTGACGAAAACGAAGTTTTCTGCTTCGACTACACATACCCGATCTTCTCTCCTTCTTTGGACTGGTCCTTTTCGATTGGGCTCCCAGATTATACCCCGGTATTCATGGCAGAATTATTGGCCATTGTTCTTGCCCTACGCAAATTACCTTCAAGCGAATCATTAGCAGTTATCATTACAGATTCGTTATCAGTTTGTAAAGCACTTTCTGTGGCAGTAAATTCAGAGCTGATGAATACGTTTCGGCATTTAGTACCGAAAAACGTAAAAAAAAAAAACTGCATTTGCTATGGGTACCAGGCCACCGTGGATTATATTTGAACGAAATGGCGGACTCTTTAGCAGCAGTATCCCTGGGTGGGCCCACCATCCCAGTTTTGCCAGATACGGCTTACGTAACCGCGCCAAGGTTCCGAAATGCTTGCCTGCAATGCGGAAAAGATAATTTGGATAAATTCAAAGATTTCGAGCATTTGAGCTATTGCTGGAAGAAACAGTGGTGTGTATCTCGCCAGTTAGAGGTCACTTATACCAGATTGCGCTGTGCAGTTCCACAACTAAATTATTACCTTAATAAAGCTCAGCTCAAGGCGTCACAGCTATGAATTTGGTGCAACGAAATTGAAAAAATAGAACATTTCTTTTTATTCTGTCATCGTTATTCTTATCAGAGAAAAAGATTTTTAGTAGCCCCATTACAAAAGCTAGGAATACAAGTAAACCTACCAGTAATTTTATCACTTGGCGGAACTTCATTTGGTTACTGCCACAGGGATGTATGCTCCGCTGTGTTTGATTACATCAACGCAACTCAAAGATTACCATGCTAGTGAACCACTACCTTTTCAGATCTTTAGTTTATAATTCGTAGTTATGTCTTTCAAAAACAAAAGATGGTTTGACCGCTTGCTCAGCAAACATTTTTGTTTTTTGGTGGTTTTATTTTAAGCTACTTTTTCAGATTGGCTTCACTTTCAGTTTCGTTTCATTTAAGTATCCTGCCGCCCGGTTCTTTGCCCATCCCCCTTTGTGGGTAAGCGCCATCCATCAGAGGTCATCAGCATCAGCATCAACATACCCGATCGTTCAACTCGTGCCGCAACAGAGAAGGCCTTCAAGAACAGAACGTTCAACTCGTTCAGCTGCAACTGCAAAGCATGCAAGGTGAGTTTGCGCCTCGCTGAAAGAACGCTGGGGTGCGACTGTCTTGTGTCACGCCGATTCGCATGAACCAGTGAACGATAACCGATAACTTAGTCATGGATGCTGTGCATGGTTTTTATTGGTACGTGTCGTCTTACCTCGGTTTTACCGCCAACAGCACCTAATCGGAAGGCGGTAAATTCAAAATTCGGTCACCCTTGCAACTTATTCGGTGTTTTTCATCCAAGATAATCCTCGGGTAGCAATTCAATGTAGAGGTGCATTGTTAATCGCTGATTTTCTATGACACATAAGAAAGAGCTTGTGTGTATTTACTAAGCCGGTAGCTTAGCGCAGCTAACATTCTTGTTGTGCTGCTGAGATCGGCGGCTGAATCTCGATGGAGGCGAAACGGTAGATTCCTTTGTACTTCGATTTTGGCGCTTTTTAGAGAACAGCGGGTGTTCGAAATTCCCAGAGCCCTCCACTGCGGCATTTGTCAATCATATCGTGGTTTTGGGACCTATAAGCCCAAATATCATTATTACTATCATTAAAACTATGGGCACATGCGCGTACATGCTCCCCGCGAAGGGCGCGAATGAGGATCGGTGCGAAACCTATAAGCCCAAATATCAAATATCAATATATATATATCATATATATATATATATATAGTCAAGGAGATCCTCCGTCAGCGGTCACAGCGTGGTTTTTTTTTGACGTTTCGACCTACAGTCTGGCCTTCATCAGGATTGAGGGTACAGTTTGCTGGTGCTCAGCTTTATACAATCTTAAATCAGAGAGGGAGAGAGAAAAGGAGGAAAAAAACGAAAGAAAGAAAGATAATATAAGGTGGACTCCCCCGGGTGCCCCCTTTCACTCTTCTTTTCTCTTCCCTCTCCATCTCTCTCCCTTTTCTCTTTTTTACCTTTAGGATGTCTGCGGAAAAAAGGGAGAGAGATAGAGAGGAAGGGGAAGGAAGAGTGAAAGGGGGCGCCCAGGGGAGTCCACCTTATACTTTCCTTTTTTTTCTCTTTTTTTCTCCTTTTTTTCTTCCTTTTCTTTCGTTTTTTCTCTCTTTTTCTCTCTCGCCCTCTGATTTAAGATTGTATAAAGCTGAGCACCACCAAACTGTATCCTCGATCCTGATGAAGGCCAGACTCTAGGCCGAAACGTCGAAATGAACCACGTTGTGACCGTGACCGCTCACGGAGGATCTACTTGCAACGCTACGGCCACTCAACCACAATGCCTGCCATATATATATATATATATATATATATATATATATATATATATATATATATATATATATATATATATATATATATATATATATATATATATATATATACTGTTACGATTTCCTGCGAGTACATAATTGAGCCATCGTTTGGGAAGCGAGCATACTTTCGAAGTGCTGTTAATAAAGGCCCATAAACTAGAGATATGTCAATGGATGAAATTTTGAGGACATATAGAAAAGCAGGTTTCCATCATGTTTCAGAAAAATACGAAAAATTAAGGAAAGGTCTTGTTTTGGGAACCATGGTGTTCTACGCACACGAGACATGATGAACACCTCTCCTGTGTTCATATTGTTTCGTGTTCGTTTAGTACGCTGTGGTTTCCGAAGTACGATGAACCAGCTACCAACATGCCAAACTTCCTCTCTTTTATACGGAAATAGTACAGCGCACGGAGCAATGAAAAGTCCGACACAGTTATTTCTTTCACGTCGAAATGAATATAATTGTTACAATACCGCATCGCAAAAAATCCAAGCAGAGCTTCCGGGTTTAATATATAGACACAATTTCAGCAAGACGTTGATTTCTTATATAAGCCTCAAGACTGACTGAAATAGTCTTTTTCTCTCTCATCCATATGAACAAATGCGTTACGAATTTTCATGCTGTAGCATAAAAAAGCATGAAGCCCTGTGCGATGCAGCAATATGTGCATTCATCCGTGTTCCCATAAAACCTCGCACGTAAGCACTTCAGACGCACCAGCACGCGATTATTTCGCGTACTCCACGCTTTTTTTTTTCCTGAAGGAAAAAAAAAACAACACAAGAAAGGACAGGTGAAGTTGAGCACGAAGTGAAGGATTGATCTCGAGGTTATTCGAAGGGGCGTACTCTTTATAGTTGTCGTCTTAGCAAAATTGTGTAATAATAGTAATTAGATCAATTAAGAGTTTGCGATGAAGAAAGTTCGATGTTACGTACAGACTACTGCCACTAAAGTGCGGCCGATGAGGTTTTCCTAAAGCCCCTTGTTTAACTTTTTCTTTTTAAGTTGTCTATAATTGTTAGATGGAAAAACTGGCTGACACCCTGCAATACATCGCATAAATGAAGATCTTATACTTGACTGCGTGAATCTTTATCTGACTGCAGCTTGTTACCAATTGTCCAGGAAAAATGATCACATGTTGACCGATAGTGGTGATGGCCTCACAGTGTTGTCGCTCATAGTTGACTAGCACTGACATTCACATTGACAGCTGAAGTTCATTGACAGAAATGACCGTGCCATTACAGCTGATGCTGTGGGTTTAACGTCCCCAAAACAACGTATGATTATGAGAGACGTCGTAGTGGAGGGCTCCGGATATTTCGACCACCTGGGGTTCTTTACCCTGCACCCTAATCTGAGCACACGGGCTTACAGCATTTTCGTCTCCATCGAAAATGCAGCCGCCGTAGCCGGTATTCGATCCCGTGACCTGCGGGTCAATAGCTGAGTTTAATATATAGACACGATTTCAGTCAAGGCGTTGATTTCTCATGTAAGCTTCAAAACTTCCGCCTCAAGACACATTCGCTATGCGAAGCTTGCAATTATAGCTGGGACATATCCAAAGCGATACGTGCCTTAGACCACCATGGCGGGGCTTTCAATTACAGCTGGGACATAACCAAAGCGACACATGCGTATCTAAGCTTGCAGGGTATACGTTTCATCCTGAAGATAAGACATTTGTGCGAGTAACGACGTGGGAGAAAGCAGTGGGGGGGAGTTAATAACGCGCACGATAAAAAGCCCTGGATAATCGCAGGACTTGATATGAAAGGCGCAATTAAGTTAACAAAAAGGTGAAAGTGAACTACTCATTGCCATCTGGCCTGTATTTTATTTTCAATTTTACTCATTGTCTCTATGTACAGTGACAGCTTACTGCTTCTCCACAAACTTAGTACCCTGAATCGTTAACTTTTTTCTTCTGGACACAAAGCACCACACTTCAGAACCACGGACAAATAGACAAAGGTACGAAACGCTGTGCAAGCTAAACCCAGTACCAACTAAGCATACCTTTTTTCACTCATTCCAACGCGCGCCTGATTTATATGACCCGAAAACAAACAGTAGAGCTATGGGCCAGTTGAAACGTCTATGCTCGAACCTAACGTGCGCGCGATTTTAAGGTCTATTTTTCACGAAAAAAGGTGCGTGTGTGGAATGGGTAAGTGTATACAGTACTTATTATCGGATAGTTTCGTGTTTCTTACTGTTTCCTTCAAAACAATTCACAAACAACCTCCTTCACAGTCTCGCCAGTATATGCACTCGGGGTAATAAATACAAATCTGTTTATTAGTTAAACGTTTAATTTCCTTAGTTCTGTATTGTTGCGACGCACGGCCTCCGAAACCCCACCGCTGCAACCACTGTTACGAAGCGCACCTCCGACGATGTTACGAAGGGCGCTACGAAATCCCACCGCTGCAACCACTGTTTCGAAAGACGGCGACGCCAACACGGTCCCGAAGGCGCCACTGCTTCGAACTCCGCCGGAAAGGTCACCAGCCGTTAGGTAGCGTAGGTTTTTCAGCTCGCGACTGCTTCTGCGCAGAGCTGATAGACGAGCGGACAAGACGACGGTGAGTTAAACAAGGTTTATGTACAGCACATATACAGAGGCGTTACAAATTCGGCACTGGGGCCGACAGAGACTCGAAGAGCCGAGCTCTCCTCTCTAACACATAGGTCTGCTCTAAAATGGGTCCGCTGTAAAAATGGGGTCTCTCTCGACGCGCCGCAGGGCTTCTTTTATATGCCCCGGGTCCAACCCAAACGTCCAACCCGAAGCGCCGCTGGTCGCGAGGTCCGAATCCTCCAATGAGGTCGCCGCTGGGCCGCGTCCTTCTTTCTCCTCAAATCTGGAGAGGCTGCGCTGCAGGTGGCTGCACCCAAGGACGAGTGACGTCGCGAGGCATTGCGTCAGACCCGCCAGACAGGAAGGCGCCAGTTGTTTACTCGACGGGCTCGCTTGCTGAGGTGACTCACTGCATGCGGGCGACAGAAAGGCGCCGCGCGTGTTTACGCCGTTGAGTTGTTCGCGTCAGGCGGGCTGGCCTTGACACAGATTGCCTTTTTCAGAGGCACGGACGTCCGCTGTGGACTCGCAGGCATAACAGTATACACGTATAATTCTGAATGACGGTGCTGGTATTCGAAATGCTCTACAGTTAGCTTGTGAAGTTGTATAGCGCATCGCTTGATTATATACTTGAATTATAAATACATCGTCTGAGAAGAAAAAAAAAGGAAAAACATGCAGGCGGCTTTTGCACTCGAGTCGCCTCGCACGAGCGCTGAAGGGACCGTGCGACTTTTTATCCACCGGTGCCTCGCGTGGCCTGTTTTTGTCTGACGGCGCATCGAAGCACGTGCGGCAAACCGAGTAGGCGTAAACCGATATCGCGACGACGTCGGCTTGTGAACTCGCCTGTTTTTGAAACAGCGCCGTCAGTGATAGATGTAGCGCATCCATCGCTCATTGCTAAACGGTAGGCCTCGGACTTCCGTTACAACTGTGTGTGTTTTTCTCAAAGGTCTATGAGTGCATTGATTGAGCCAGTAGTTGGGCTATACCAGTCGACGCTTACACCATGTAGCGTCCAATATACGGGTTTAGAATGTACATTGTAATGTTCCAGCTCAGTCTTCTTTGATTGTCAAAGGCATTACGTGTGTCTAGGACAGCGTGAACTGTAATGATGTCTTCTTTCCTGCTTGAAGAATGAGTAAAAATCTCAATGAGACAAGATTCAGGCATGCAGTTCACCGATTAGAATTTATCATCAGGCTATAGAAAGCGCTGTAAATACCTGTGTATCTGTTGTCTGAGACAATCACTTTGGGTAACAGTACATGCGTCGCTCTTCGTGACGTAAGATTTCGCGTGTCCAATGATATATCGCTCTGCATGGCGCGTAATATGTCGTGTGCCCAATTATTGAAGCGAATATACTTGCCCACCTTTCCTCGACCACCAGCAAATCATTGCGAACTGAAACTCGTACAGAAAAGCTTGTGTGGGGGCTAGTTGGAACATACTGCAGGTGAAGGCTGTGCTGCAAAGTTGAGGACGAAAAACTGATCGGTATGTGGCGTTAGTGCCTCAAAAACCACCAAATGATCATGAGAGACGCCGTAGTGGAGGGTTCCGGAAATTTTGACCACCCGGGTTTCTTTAACTTGCACACAAATTTCAGCACACCGGCCTACAGCATTTTCGCCTCCATCAAAAATGCCGCCGCAGCCGGGATTCGATCCCGTGACCTGCGGGTCAGCAGCCGCGGCAAGGTGAGGATGAAAAAGTGGACTAACGCAGGAAAAGCGCATTACAGGGAAGACGTCATCAACTTTGCAGTGCAGCCTTTACCTGAAACTTATGCGCCGGGATCCCCTTCGGGGAGGGGAGGGGGAGTATGTTTATCACCGCGCCCACTCCCCTCCCCCTTTTAGGTGAAATGAAATGTATGGGGCATACTTTGCGCCATTCTCTTAAGTCAGTAAGACTTATCGCCGTTATCAACCGTCAATTTAAACACTTCGCTTCGAGGCCGCTTATCGAGCTCGCTTATCTTTCTCCCCCAATGCGAAGGAAACAGTGTCGTCATTGACGGTGTTGTCGAAGTGAATGGTAGATGCGCTGTTTGGTGCGTCGGTTTACCTTTCCCCCTGCTAAATTGGTCAGATTGCATCACTCCACGGTGATTACCAGTGGTAGCTTTTCCAAAACTTCATTGTGGGTTTGGACGAATTCGTAGGAATTAGCCCATTCGACTAAACCGGCTATTACCTCTGTTTAAAAAGTTAATTGTGTTAATTTCTATAATTACTGCTGTAAATAATGTTTGTACCCATCTGAAGATGCCATCTGCCACAGAAAGCCAACGCCGCAAGTAGCACACAGATACCTCCTTTCTGTAATTTTTAAAGAATATTCGACACATTTCGTGAAACATCCTCCCTCTCTCTCTCTCTCTCCATATATATATATATATATATATATATATATATATATATATATATATATATATATATATATATATATATATATATATATATGTATATAATTCGTACGCATGGCTTCGGCACACGGCAGCGGGGTCGAGTGACGTCGGAGGCGCCGACTGTCCGACGGACACGACGCAGTTGCTGGAGCGCGTGGATGCTCCCTGCCTGAAGCACGAGGCGACGCTGGACTTCCTGCGCACCCATGGGCGCCTGCTCTTCCTGGTGCGTGGTCCTCCCGGTTCGGGAAAGAACATCGTGGCCGCCGAGCTGGAGGAGCTGTACCCGGAGTGCCGCTCCTACTGGTCGGACAAGCTGTTCAGTTCGCCCGTGGCCCCCGAGAGAAACACGGTCACCATGCGCGAGTCCCACGACCTCTGCCTCAGCAAGTGAGTATTGACACGACCGACATGATCACGGACGTATCACTCACGTGACATGTGACGTGATTCTGATCTTCCGCAGCCAGCATTATTCACACGACAGGGGAGAATTCACGCTACAAGCGAGGATTTCGGCATTGCTCCCCGAGGATCCCAACTGTGATTTGGACAGCCGTCGTTTCACGAATAGCTGCGCGCGGACTGATGTGGAGAAGCGGGAACGGGTGACGTATGGTGACGTAATACGCAATCCCCGGGGTCGAATCGCGATTTCGTATGTCGTGTGAATACAGCTTAACTGGGCTGGTTGGCCTACAGCGGTCCATTGTTAAAGGGACACTGACACGATTTTAAAACATCACAAAATGAGATTTTTAAGCGAAAGCCTTAGATGCCTCATCAAACACAAAAATAGATCGTCGGCGTCTCTCAGCCTCTGTGTCAACGTAAGTAATGCAAAATCACGTGAATACGCCACCATATGATGTCGTCATAACGTCACCGATGACCGATATTTGTAACGCCATCAAGGAGCCATCTTGACATCTCCATGATGCCCCATGACGTAACGTTACACGATGACGTCATCACATGTCATCTTTGCTTGGTGGATGGTTGGCCGATCTCGAAGGCAATGCACAACCAGCTGAAGTGTACTATGGAGTGCCTGCGGTACTTGAGGCAGCAAGAAGATCACCTTACAGGTGCAGAAATATCTTGGAGGGTGGTAGAGGATGTTCAATACAATGACTGGGAAGAATAATATGATGAAGGGGCTTTAGCCTTTTAGTCATTTCAGGTGAATGCAAAGGAACACTGTAAGTTTTCATTTCCTTAGCTTGCAGTTTTAGCCCTCTCCACATACCTTAGCCAGCAAACATGTGTGAAATGTACTTGTTCTATTATGAAGTTCTGTCGCTCGGGCATGTGCAAACCAGCTCCACTGTAATGGATGTTATGACGAATCAACAAAGTTCGCTGGTTTCATATATACAATTTGTTCTGAGGCACCATGCATGGTACTTGTTTCAGAGTTCTCGATACGAGTCTCTCCGTTTCGAGCAAAAGTACATAAAATTGCTAAGTTCATGTCAGTATACACCTTTAAAGGGCCCCTAACCTGCCTCTGAAAATACAAAATAAAAAAAGCGAAGGCATTTCTTTGTACTGACGTTTCTCGTCTTGCTTTCGCACTTTGTGATGCACGAACAGTGATTTCCTTGACGTCATTCCGGTACCTACATTCGATTGATCCGTATTGGCTAAATATCAGATGTGAATTGTCTCCTACAATGCCTTGCCATGTAACCGGCCGTCCGTTCATTTTGTCTCGCATTATCATCGTGCTCTATCAACTGTTATCACTTAGTGCATTTCCGACTGCGCAAGCGGAGATATAACTGCCGCTGACCGGGGCGAAATTTCGATACGCTTAATGCTAACTGCTGGACTAGTACACCAACATTTAAGATACACGTGGCGAGAAAGAGATATCGCCTGTAGGAAGAGTCCCGAACGTGAGAAAGAAGCCACTCCTCTCTCTTTGAACGCGGGGTGTTAGGGGCCCTTTACGGGAGCATCGGAGTCTGTGGCGGTTTCTTGGCCCCGCCGCCGCCGGAGGTTGGTTGCTACGGGTTTTGTGTAGGCCACGAGGTGCAGGCATAGTAGGCGTTGTTAAGGCCTGGCCACATGTACCCGTTGCAGCGCATCAGCTTGCAGTCCCCTTTCTCCCAATAGAAAAAGAGAGAGGGCGCGTGGACACGTGACGCTGCGGGCGCGAGGTCGCGTCAATAGAGAGTTTTAGTGCTGGGTACGCATTCTCTTGGGGCGACGCGGGCTTGGGAGCGCGCGGCGTTGCGTGCCCAACCAGCCATACCCAACCGGAATAATATTCCACGCGCTGCAACAGGTGCGCGTGGTGATGCCTTTAAAGCCTTATCGCGGCGCCACACTTATTCTCTACGGAGAGAGTGGGCGCACAGCATCGCGCAACCAGGCGCCCTCTTTCTCTATAGGGAAAGGGCATGGAGCCGCGTCAGAAAGTCGCACGCTGACGGGCTGCAACGCCCACGTGTGGTCAGGCCTTCCCCGCGGTCTGACCCCATGTATCCGTTGCAGCGCAGCGGCGCGTGGCCTTTCAACGCGGCGCCGCGCCCTTTTCCTATAGAGAGAGTGGGTATATAGCTACGCGAAGCTGCGCGCCCACTCTCTCCATATAGGAGAGGGCTCGGCGCCGCGTCAAACAAGCACACGCCGACGCTCTGCCACGAATTCCTGGTGGAAACATATTTATTTATTTAATTACATGAAATTTTCTGCGGAGAAGCTCCGAGTAGTCGGACATGCTTGGCTTGCGGTGGGGGGGCCCTTAGTCCAGGGCTCCGCTTGCAGCAGCCGCTCTGCGGGCCCGGTTGATCAAACTCAATTGATCTTCCAGGTTCTCGCTGGCCAGCAGCTCCTCCCATCGCTCCGCTGTTGGATTTTGTACTGGTTGTAAGGCTGTAATGGCCTGACACTCCCACGTGACGTGGTACAGAGTGGCTTTAGCTGAACACCATGGGCAGAGAGGAGAGTATGCCGAGGGGTGCATTTTACTCAGGATGTGCAAATTTGGAAACGTGCCGGTTTGAATTTGCCTCCAGCTGACCGATTCCTCTTTATTCAGTATTCGGTGTGGTAGCGAATAAGCTTTCCTAAGTCCTCTGTAATGGTTTAGGATGGCCGAATAGTCGCAAGGGACCGGAACGAGTTCCTCAGGGGCGGAGTTGGAAGGTGCTCGGCTCGCATACCCTCGAGCTACCCTATCCGCTGCCTGATTCCCCTTCAGTCCCATGTGGCCCGGAGTCCATATAATCCGATGCCAAATTCTGAGTGGATGTGTAATGGAATGCTCGTCAGTGTCTGTAACGCTCATGATGACGCTGAGAGCGGGTTGGCTGATGCGCCCCTGTAGGTAGTTGCGGCAAGCTGCTTGAGAGTCCGTGAGAACTGTCAGCGACCTTCGTTGTCTGTAGCCGAGGGCGAGAGCGAGCGCGATGGCAGTTTCTTCAGCATCGGTGATGTTGCGGCACCGCACGGAAGCGCTGGTACGTTCTGTGAGTGTGTGGTCCACGACTGTGGCTACAGCCTTATTGTTTGCATGGTCGTAGTTGGCGGCGTCAACATAGTACGTAGTGTTTTTGTGTGCATAAGTTCGCTCGAGGGCTTCCACTCTGGCTTCCCTCCGGCCCTGATGTAGTCGGGGATCCATATTGCGGGGGATGGGAGCGACCTTATAAGTGGCACGAAGTTGGTCCGGAATGGGCTTGCGACGAGCTGCGTCGTGAAACTGGCTGATGTAGCCGAGGCGTAGGAGCAGGTCACGGCCTGTAGGTGTTTACTTGAGCCGTTGCAGTTGTGTGGCGAGTTGCGCTTCACAAAGTTCTTCAAAGGTGTTGTGTAGGCCCAATGCGAGGAGCTTGCTAGAAGGAGTACCCGGTGGTAGCTTGGGTGCCGCTTTGTAGGCCTTGCGGAGCATTGCGTCTACTTGGCCCTGTTCGCTCTTGGTGAGGCGTTGGTAGGGCAAACTGTATGTCACCCTACTGACCACGAGGCTACGTATGAGTTTCAGGGTGTCCTCCTCACGCATGCCATGGCGACGAGTGGCTACCCGAGATATCATTCGGGCCACTTGCAGTGTAGTGGTGCGGAGAAGGGAAAGTGTGTGATTCACATGGCGGTTCGACTGTACCCACATGCATAATATTCGAATGGTGGATTTCTCTGGGATTTGTTTGCCAGCAAGGACAACCTGGAGGCGGGAGCCTTGGTTGTTCTGCGTCGATGGTGGGAGCTTGCGTCGATAAATTCGTAGAAGCTCAGATTTTTCTGTTGCACAGGCCAGGCCTCGTGCCTGCGCGTATTGTTCGATGCATGTGGCTGCCTGCTGCAGGTTATATTCTTTTTCTCCAAGGGACCCCCGCGTAGCCCAGACGGTGATATCGTCCGCATACATTGCGTGATGGATGCCATCGATGCAGTGGAGTTCATGTGCCAGGCCAACCATAGCTACATTAAAGAGTAGCGGGGAAATCACTGAGCCCTGCGGGGTGCCCTTGTTCGGAACCTTGATAACATCCGATCGGATGGAGCCGAGACCGACTGTGGCAGTGCGGTCCGACAAGAAGGCGTGAACATAACTGTAGACGCGCTGCCCACAATGAAAGGCCTCGAGGCCCTCAAGTATGGCCTGGTGGCTAACGTTATCAAATGCGCCCTTAATGTCTAAAGTCAAGATAATGTTTTCTCCTTGCTGGGGGGCGTTATCAATGACTTCTTTTAATTGTAGCAGTACATCTTGCGTTGAAAGATGTGCCCGGAACCCGTACGTTGAGTGCGGGAAAAGGTCATTGTCTTCGAGGTAATCTTGCACGCGATTAATGATGACGCGCTCGAAAAGTTTACCAAGGCAGGAAGTGAGGGATATTGGTCGGAGGTTTTCGATCTGAAGTTTTTTGCCCGGCTTCGGTATCATTATGACCTCCGCGTGCTTCCATTCAGGAGGAAGCGTGCCACGTTGCCAATGATCATTGAAAAACGCCGTGATTTCTTGTACGGCGCTGTCGTTGAGGTTCCTGATAAGGGAGTACGTGATTCCGTCTGCCCCAGCAGCTGTGTTGCGATTGCTGCTGCGAATGGCTGCGTAAACTTCGTCCACCGTTATTGGTCGGTCGAGAGTGTCATTGGCACGTCCACGATACGCAGCTTGAGATGCGGGTGGGTAGAAATCGCCAAAGCATTTTCGCGGGACTTGATCCAGCAGCTCATCGTCAGTACCCTCAAAGGCGTGTATGAGGCGCATGACTGACTTATTCGTCTCATTTTTTGTGCGAGTGGGGTCCATCAAAGCGCGCAAAATGTGCCACGTGCGGGCAGTGCGCAATGAGCCTCGAAGAGAGTCGCTAAACTGGGCCCAATTGAGTCGCGCCAGTTCTGTAGCGTACTGCTCTGCCTGAGTGGTGAGTGTG